GCTACAGGAACAGCGAAGCGACTGCTGGCCAGGATCGTGAATCGTGACGGTGGAGAATCGTCCCGAAGGGCCCCAAAGGATCATTGCCCGACCATTCATCATTATTGCATTTCTCATGCTAGAATAACCGATGAAAGTACGTACATATGTACAGGCTACTTGCCCAAGACCACAGCCCTGCGGTGAATCATGAAACCTCACGAGGCGTCTGCTCGGATAGGCGTTGCCGAAAATACCAGGGCACTTCCGGATGAAGGACCTCTGACAGGGATCCCAACCTTCCAATAACAGCCTAGATCTTCCATACTCCTGTCAAACTTGGCCCTGTAGGGATGTTTCGCCAAGATAGAGGAGGGACGGGAACCATCTGAAAGCGGTAGGTGAGATTTCGGCAGGGAATGCCGCCCAACACGTTCCAACTCGGGAGTCGGGACTTTGCGACAAGTGCCCTGCACCTCTGCGACGCCTCGCTCCGAACAGCGACGAGACATTACCCCGGGTTGACCGTGGCCTGATGTGCCTCCTTGGGCCCCGATGCTACCGTAAGAACAGGCTCCCAACTGCAACGAATCCATTCTCGGCGGCCGTGATGGCGGCCTTATTCGACGTCTCTTATGCTGATCTTGAGGTCAAGTGAGCGGTGCTGCAGGATGCCCAACCCCGACTTTGGTTCGGTCGCTGCCGATCCGCAAGTAACCCGTCAATCAGTTGATACGCCGCACAGCCAAGACTTTTTCACGGACGGGCCGCTACTTGGCATGAGTTATCTAGATTCTAGTATATTGGAGCTTTTCGACGCTTTTTTCCTATTTCGTTTCGTTGACGCGAAAGTAATATCCGCCTGGGTTCAGACTTTAGAGACAAGCCAGGCACTACCCTAAACTAACTAACTGCATGGTTGACAACCTCTTGAGTAAGCTTCTTAACCCGAGACAAAGCCTGTGCGGCGCATCAGAGACACCGCAGAAATCTCCAGGCCTTCTCCACAAAGTGGCACAAGCTGCGGGCGCTGCATTGTGCGTCGTGACCATCCGGGGTTCCAGTGTCCAACGGACTCTAGAGTCTACTGTTGTTTCCACACAACTCGTCATGGCAGATCAGGCTCCTTCCTCAACCGGCCGGTTCCCCCACGACAATCTAATTCTACGACGATTAACAAAGGCACATGTTCTAGTTTGTGAGTTGCTATTGCACGTAGTCTTGTATGTATGTATAACAGTCCAGGGCCCCCCTGACCCTATCGGCTAAGACGGAACCAACATGGTGGGGAGGCTTTCAGTTTAGTGCCGGCGTTTGTGTCGAATAGAGAATCGAATTGCACTAACATGTCTGGTTGCCCAACCTTTGCTATTGCTGCGAGAACTTCCTACTTGCCCAGCTGACTAGTCGAGCCGGCCTCTTGATGCGCTCCCAGCTCAATCGCACCGTCTCTAAACAGTCACGTAATATCAGTTTGCTCCATGTGATCGGCGGTGGCTTTTCGCGCTTCCCTCTTGCCACGCCTCAGTGGCTGGTTCTGGAAGACGACAAACTACCACCATCTGGCCCCCCCTGGCAAGCCATGTTGCTAGGCGCAAGAGAACTATACGAGTTGACCTCTTTGTTGCAAGTTGCGTGCCTGGGTCTGTATCATGTCCATGTCTCCATTTCTAGCTCAACCGTCTCCTTCATTTCGTCTGCCTGGCTCTCTGCGAATACCGACTGGCTACGCCAACATGCTCGGCCCGCGTCTAAATTGCAGGCTCATCCCAAGGTTCTTTGTTGACCAGTACCTGTTTTCTTGTTCCTTGGGCCCTGTTTGGCGAGGCCACTGCTCCAATGAGGTATAGTCGCCGCCGCACCATGTTGGGCCTCGTGAAGTGGCCCATGAGGCGTTTTGAGCTCCTGGTCCGGGGCAGATGGTGCCAATATGACGATCTCGAGAGATCAACTTCCCTTCTTGTCTCGAAGCAACCTGGTCATTTGAGGACCGAACTGCCCTTTTGGTACCATCATGGGCTCCTATGTGATGCGGCTTGTGCATGGTTCGCCAAGGTAGCAAAGTGGTGCCGTCCAAGGGCGTGGAAGGGCTTCGTGGAAGATGGGAGCTCCTTTGATACGATATTGTTTGACATTGCCATCAAGCCATGGCATCTCGAGCAAAAGGTATAAATTGAAGCCGCCACCGCCTCCTCTGCAATCTGGCTGGCTTCTCATCACCACCGGTTTTCAACATTCTTGGCCAAGCAACACGTATCATATAGACAAATCACGATGCAAACCTTTGGAGCCTTTCTTGCCTCCCTCGCCATAGCTGGCAACCTCGCCGCTGCTTTACCTGCAGCTGGTCAGACCCAGACTCTTTCCATCAACGCCGTTCACAACAAGAACTTCAAGCCCAACGGCCCTCTGGCCCTCGCCAAGGCTTACAACAAGTACAACGTTCCTCTGCCTACAGAGCTTTCTTCCCTGGTGTCTCGTATTGAAGAGGACCTGGGACTGCAGAAGCGCCAAGATGGCACTGGTTCAGATCCTGCCAAACCTCCCCCCGGGGTTGGTGACCTGGAATATCTGGCCGAAGTTGACATCGGTACTCCTCCCCAGAAGCTATATCTCGACTTTGATACCGGCTCAAGTGACCTCTGGGTATTTAGCAGCGAGACCCAGCAGAGCCAGGTCAACGGCCAGAAGATCTATGACATCCAATCCAGCTCGTCTGCCAAGCCGCTTGAAGGAGCGTCCTGGTCCATCCAGTACGGCGATGGAAGCACCTGCCAAGGTGACGTCTACCTCGACCAGGTCACCGTCGGCGGGTTGACCGTCAAGGAGCAGGCCGTGGAATCTGCCAAGACGGTCTCTGACCAGTTCACCAGAGGCCCGTCCCAGAACTCCGGCCTCCTCGGCCTCGCCTTTGACGAGATCAACACGGTCAAGCCGACGCAGCAAAAGACGTGGTTCTCCAACATCAAGGACAGCCTCAAGGCGCCTCTGTTCACGGCCAACCTGAAGCACGCTGCCGGTAAGCACTCGCACCGTCCAAGGTAGAAGCAGCAGAATACTAACGGGGGAGCAATTAGACGGCACCTACAACTTTGGCTACATTGACGAGCAGGAGCACGACGGGGAGATTTCCTACACCGAGGTCGACAGCAGCCGCGGCTTCTGGGGCTTCACTGCCTCCGGATACGCCGTGGGCAACGGTGACCTGCAGCCCGCGCAGATCCAGGGCATCGCCGACACGGGCACCACGCTGCTCCTCATCGACGACGGCATCGTCGAGGACTACTACGCCCAGGTCCAGGGCGCCCAGAACAACCGGCAGATGGGCGGCTACGTCTTCGACTGCGGCGCCACGCTGCCCGACTTTCGCTTCGGCGTGGGCAGGGCCACCATCACCATCCCCGGCAGCATCATCAACTACGCGCCCGCCCAGGAGGGCAGCTCGACCTGCTTCGGCGGCATCCAGAGCAGCGGCCAGCTTGGCCAGAACATCTTTGGCGACATTGCCCTCAAGGCGGCGCTGGTTGTCTTTGACGCGGGCAACAACCGTCTTGGCTGGGCGCCCAAGAAGGCGTAGACGGAGGGACCTGGACGCGCGGAGAGTCTTGGTGCAGCAAAGGCAGGCTTTGCTGTGGGGTGAGACCTGTGATACCACGAACATGAATTACTCCTGCTGGCGAAAAAGTGTATATATTGTCTATAAATTGCCGAGAATCTGTTGTATATTCCCGTATGTGGCGTGTCCTTGTCGTGACTGGCCCCCCCCTCGGAGCTGCTTCCTCATTCTTGTCCCAGGAGGACCTTTTCAGAGAGCATGGTGTCCCAGTAGCTTCGTATCTCGACAATCTTGCCCTCGTCGTTCCAGCGCATCAGCCAGGCGTACTCGTTGTTGTACGGCTGGCCTGTGGTCCTGGTGGCCTCGCCCTTGGTCTCGACGGTGCACCACCAGCCGTCTTGTTCGCGCTCCGCGTCGACAATGACTCTTGTTGCCGTGAATTTGATGGGGCCCGTGAGGTTTCGCCCCAGCCGCTTAAAGGTGGCGTCCTCGTGGTCCTGCACGCTGTGCCGCGTCCCGGCCAGCGAGTGCGCGCTGCCGGTGCAGGTCCATGTGACGTTGGGGACCGTGTACTCTGTGAGGAACTTTTTGCGGTGCTCGAGGTCTTGGATTTCCCCTAGGTGGGAGAATGCTTTGCGGACGTGGTCTTTGGTGAGGACGAAGCCGGGCATTGTGAGGGTTGCTGAGGACAGAGTCCGGAGTCGGAGGGGTTGGGAGAAGGAGAAGGCAGTCGCCATTGGTATGTCTTACAGCTGGAGATTTCATGCATAATACTCCAACTGGTGTGCGTCGGTCGCGTTGCGGCATTTGTCCGATTTCGCTCTGGTGCCTTGTGCCTTGGCCCTTGAGGAACGAAAGGTTCTTCCTTCCGCGCTCTACACTACGCCACTAGCCGTGCCACAGGTGTGCCTTTGCCTTTGCTTTTTGCTACAATTCAAGCCACACCCTCCGTGTGCTTCGAGTGCCGCACCAGCTTGCACATGTACTCCAAGTACGCAAATCTCGGGTCACTGCCGCCCTCGTATGGCTTCAAAAGAATAACCCCCTTTACGAACATATCAAAATCGATCGGGCCGAGATGGAGAACTGGCGATATGCTGACAGCACCCATGTTCCAAGCATTATCATGGACCGCATGCGGAGGGAGGAGCCGTCTGTACTATGTAGGTGAGAAGACACAGACGGCACCTGGGACCACATAGTCTCGGATAGCGACCGAGGCCTGGAAGAAAACGGATTCACAAGTATCGATGAACTACTTACCTCAATCTCAATGCACCCTCTCAGCCTGCCAACGAATCCTGCCACACAGACGACGCTCCATCAACTGAGCTGCATCGATCCTCGCCTGGCGGGCGTACACGAGTGATTCGGTACGTGGACTCGGTTTTTCATGAGTGCTTAGATGAAGATGCTGGAAGGGCCGTCCGCCAAGAGAGGAGACCAATCCATGTCGTGCGGAATAATGGATAGCATCGAGGTTCTTACTGCGGTCTGCGATGAAGAATCCAACTTCATCGCGTTCTGCTATCAAGTTCATTTACACACCTACACCTATCTTAAGTATTCGCTACAGGGACTTGTCGAGCAGGGTGCGGAGAATTACAAGCGGACGGCCTATCGGTTTAAAGCACCTTGGAAGATCGTCGAGGAGACGGGATTTACGGAGGAGGGCCTGCTCAGGATCCGGCGGGACGACTCACTCGTTAAGCGATATAACAAAAACAAATCACTGGCAGTCGGCCCCCGCCATAACCACGACGTCAGCCGTAGAGGTCTATTACCACCTTCTTGGCTATGGCCCTGATTTCACTAACGAGCCGGATTGGTCATTCCTTAACCTAACGGCACTATATTGGTCAATCTTTCGGCGATGGCCACGTCTGCGGTGTCTGGCTGGCCAACTAACTGACGCCGAGGAACCTCCCGAGACCATTCCACTCAGAGAGGGTGGGCGAGCTCTCCTATATTTCGATGTCTACGCATTCAGAGGCCCTATTTTGAGAGATTTGTGTCTGTACGACTATATGTCCATGATAAGTCTGCAGCGCCGGCAGGGGGGAGGCGACGATGAATCTCATATCTGTCTTGAAGGCCCGTCACCCGAGTATCATGACTGGATCCAAAAAATCCGACAGCCACACCAGTACGCCGTGCCAATATTTCAAGGATTCATCAGCGACGATCACCATGATGAGCATCCAGTGTACCTTAAACGGTAGGCTTCAAAACCACACGATTTACTGTACCTTCAAATGCTGGATGGATGCTCGACACTCCACGGGTAACGCCGACATAGACGACATACTTGTTCGCCACGACGACACGGAAATTCCCCTCCCGCGCCATAGCCAAAACCCCGTCGTACAGGGTCCTCAAATGGTCGTCGACACCGCTCCTGCAGACGGCTTCATAGAATTAGGCCCCATCGCCGCGTCCAACTATACGCTCAATCATCTGCAGACCATGGCTCTTCAACTCGTTTGCAGCTTTTTAGATAGGTACACCGTCTATCCGGACTCGGCTGCCCAACACCTTCAGTACACTGGTGGGCCAGGTGGCACGGGAAAGTCAAGAATTATCGACGCCTCAAAGGATGTGTTCGCAGCTAGAGCTCAACGCCATCTCCTCCAAATTACTGGAACGTCCGGTAGTGCCGCAGCCCGGATCGGCGGAACGACGGTGAATTCGGCCTGTGGATTGGATGCCCATCGTAGTCCAAACAAACCACTTCCTCCTTTCTCGGAAGCGAAGAAATAGATGTGGAAGCAGAAGATGGTACTCGTCGTGGACGAGATCAGCATGCTTGGAGGAGCCACTCTGTACGACGTTAGCCAGCACCTTCAATCGCTCCGAGACTGCCCGGAAAAGCCATTTGGCGGGATTCCTGTTGTCCTCCTGATGGGAGATTTCTATCAATCCGGCTAACCCCCGCTTCAAGTCCATATCAGCAAAATGCTGTTGTTCCAGCGTTTGTTGTTACTGACTATAAAGCTCAAGGCAAGACGTTCTCTGACCGAGGTCCTTTTAGAGCTGCAAGGAAATCGTACAACCAACGGTGAATATTCTAAATGTGATTTTGCTAGTCTTTACGTACACCTATCTAGGTGTACGACGCTTCAAGGTATCAAGCTTCTCAGTCCTATACGACAGCAGGATTTCGTCGGGAACCGGCTCGATCAGACCATAGTTGATGGAATGCAGCAATTGAGGGTCCTCGCTGCAGAAACCAGACAGCTGTATGAGAGATAACCTGAACTGGTGCGAGTCTATGGGACGCCAAACCGTCCCAAGACGGCATTCTCGTAGGCCAGAACATACGACTACTTCATCTCAGGAGTCTTCGCTTTCGTATGGCGACGCGACGGCCCGCCAATCGTCAGGATCATGCTTGCCTCCCTTCCCGGAGCGCATACACTTCTGTTCCTTGCAGTAACCTTCCCACCACTTCTCAAACGCCGGACGATTGTATAGCCAGCTCGGCGCGCCTTGTCCTTCTCCAAAGACGTCTAGAATGTAGTCGCAGTACATCCACACGCCCTCAAGATGCTGCGGAAGTAATGGCCTCCTGTCCTTCCGAGCGACTAAGACGGTGCCAACATGTGACTGCCACGTGGGGGGCGCGAAACCACTGTCAGAATCGATGTTGAGGTAAGTCGCGATCTGATTATCGAGGTCAGCCCTATTGGCAGACTTGGTACCCATGCGGTGGAGAACTAGCGGGATGCTGATCAGCCCCGGTACGGGAGGCACCCGCTGCGAGAAAACTGCATGGTCTGCGGGAATTATGGTGGCAGACCACGGCGGGAGTCTACGCTTCTCAGAATCGCAGCGGACAATGATTAACGGCTTGGACAGTTCCGGAAGCGCTCTGTGATTCCGCCGAAACGGATGATGTAGGGACGGGCGGTGGGACTGCCTTGGGGGCAGGCGTCTGCTGTGGCAATGCCTCTGGCTCGGAATCGGTGTCTATGTTGTCCCATTTGGAGTAGTCGATAGGAGCCATGGAATTTGGACAAACAGCCCCAAGAGTTGCGTGATGTGATAGGTTGAATTAACTAGCTTGAGGTCTATGAGGCAGCTCAGATGTCGTTACGAGACGAGACGAGCGGGGTAGATACTTGGGCTTCAGTGCTACCTAGACCTAAGTTTGATGTCTATGCACGTGCCGTTGAGGCGCCACACTGCTGTCCCTCCCTTGTGGCGGTGCCGGGTGCAAATTGTCTGGTATTCTGGGAACATTGAAATTTGTTTTCACCTACAATCGTGTCGCTTTTAGAGTTGAACAGATTTCCCTCTAGCCACGATTTTTAGCAGAGCATGCAACTTGTTCAAAAACTTGTACAGTCAGCGGCGCGAGCCTTGGGTCCATTGGCGAGCGCAGTGACTTCAAATGTTATTTGCGCCTGCACGCGATCTAGTCGTCAACAATTTGCCATAGAGGCGCGGCAACGATGACCTTTGGCAACGGTCGAATTCATGGAACCACCACTCATAACTTTAAAGGTGCTAATTGCAAAGCAAGAGTACGAATGAGCTCAAGCCTGTTCACGACCTGCACATCGTTTCCAAACACAGTTGGTGCGGTTCAACTTTTTTTATTCGAAAGGGTAGGTATAAGTGAAATATAGACCACACGTCATAGCCATTGACAATCTATTCGGGAATGCAATAGGCGACCGGCGGTTGGCTCTCTAGTTGGAGATCTTGGGATTGACCTTGCTTCTACGTTGCGTGTCAGTCAACTAGTCTCATCATCCGTGACAGAGTCAAGTCACCTACCCAGTGGCCTTTTCGTAGGCGGTCCGACCGGCGTCGGTGATCTTCTCCTGGGTGTTGCGGTCGATGTTGTGGCCGCTCTTGCTCGCCGCCATGCCAAAGGCTACGAGGTGGTCAGCATCTAGGTGTACAGGAATAGACGCTTTGGAAATTACCCTTGTCGACGTAGTCCTGCTGCTCGCCACCCTGGCCCTGTGCAGCCTGGTCTTTCTTCTCACCAGAGTTGCCCTTGATGCCCTCGGCGGCCTTCTTGACGAAATCCATGGTGTGTGGGTTGGGTATATAGAGTTATATGGCAAGTTGTAAAGTTTGTAGCGATGGAGAGTATTACGCCAACTGATAACAACTCTTCTGGCAGGAGACACTTGCATCTTATACTCGGAGGCCTTCTCCTCACAACCAGTGACGTCTTCTGTCCTCGTCAACTAGCTCCAAGTTGCGTGTTGCCCCATGGCCGTATCATCATCACCATTGGACCTTGCAACTGGGCCGCAACTTAGAGCGACAACGTCTCCGCTACAGTCTGGGAATCAACGAATCAACTGCTCGACGACGTCAAGCCCAGGCCAATGGAGGACTACGTCATGTCCCGCAGTCCAGCTCATCTCTCCGCCACACGCGGCATTCATTGGAGCGGCGTTGCTAGCTTGAAGCCACTAAGGACAAGTGTGTGGCCCCGATCGCCGTCCCGATCTTGGAATAATGGTAGTAAACCCGTTCGCTTATCGAGATGTGCCATGTTATGACGCGCATTGTGTGCAAGAACGGTTGTGGTTGGACGCTCCGGCTGGCACTTTGAGTTGAAACTTTGGTGAATTTCCCCTGGAGTATGCGATGAAACCTGCTTGCATCGGAAAGCAAGACTAAACTACTGACAAGCAGTTCCTGAAACTTCGCTGCGTTGCCTTGCATGGTCGCCATGGCCACTGGGATAATACCTTGAGGGCTTTTTTGGCCAGAGCCGACCGAGAATACTATTCCACAAATCGCTCCTTGGCGTGGACTTTGAAGCATCCTCAAGAGGCTAGTGTTGATCATTTCCGTATTTGACATGGCGGCAAGAGTCAATAGTTCCTGGTTTCTTAAAGGCCCTCAATCATATACTATACCTGGTAGGCAATTCTCCTCAACGTACTACAACTCAATCCCCATCCTTCAGATGAGACACTGCCTGGCGAAATGCATCGCCTAGAGCCCGCTCAAAGTTGTTGGCTAAACCCGAAGCCTGAATCTAATAAAAGAAGGGTATGGAGATACTGAAATGACCTGAAACATGGATCAAGCTTCAAGCTTATAGTACAACCGTGAGGTTGGTTCTCCAAAGGATAGAGCTTGGAAAGCGGAACCAAGAAGGCTCACATGAACACTCAACAACTCAGAAATATAACCCTCAAAGTACCTTTTCACTATGGAAATTGCGTCTGTTTAGACGTCCCACGCCACACTAAGGCGACTTGAACCTGACCAGCGTCAATTAAGACGTCGCCAAGATGCTCATTTCCGTCATTTCGTGGTACGCGCATTTGCAATATGCAGTAGGGCTATTCCCTTTGCCATGATTTCATTTCATCCTCCGTCATTACTTCCCAAACCTGCATTGCTGATTCTCGCAACAGCATAACCCAATATGGTGCTGGGATTAAAATACTGCTCCCATTCGAGGTTCTCTGCTGGGATGGATGCCTTTGGCGTTAAACATCGTGCACGTTTGTACAATGACAAGCAGCCAACGCTTGCCTGCCTGGAAACAATCTCCATAGGAAGAAATCATGGTCTTCATTATATTAGACTTGAACTGGCTCCGCACAAACGAGCTCTCTCGCGTTGTACAAGTGACGGCGACTTACGGTTCCAAGCCAGCACAGCTGAAAGTCGATAAGAGGCAGCAACGGTAACTACAAGTCCTTCCATTCTGGTGTCAATGTTACTGTTCAAGATGGCAATAATACCCACCTACAAGATTTGCAGGAGAGACTTGCATCACCCCTGAGAGCACACGCTGTTCTTTATCGACGACAGGATGTGTATTCTTGTCCACCTTGTGTGTATAACCGACAACATAGACTTGCAGATTCACTGCGATATCACCTCCAATCATGTTTATATGTATGTATATTCAGAGAATATGAAAAGCCTTCGTCTCCTTAATGTCGGCGCCATTTCGATACAAGAAGTAGCAAACTTTGTAACCGAAGCGAAGTATCTACCCTATTCCCAATCTTCGACTATAAGCCACCATCCATAGTCATCAAGGACAGATTTGAGACCAGAACTGTGAACCATCTGATTGGCTATAGTACTTGACCCGAAGGTACGCAGTTTCCTAAGCGCCCGGCGCGGTTTCGCAGAGAAGGGCTTGGCCAGCCTTTTCATGGTTGTGTCAGTACGGAAGCCATCGTTTTGAATCGGTTCACTGGGCGAGATTCTAAACGTACAACAGGAATTACGCAGCATGCAGCTTTCTGTCCGGTCTTCGCGCAGATATTCCTCAAGTCCGTGCCATCACGAGGGACTTCGCTAGCTATTCTTGGAGTTGGTATAATCTTTTCAGGGTTGCGCTTCAAGATGGCAATACTCACGGGATTTGCAGTCAAGGGCGATGACACCGATAATAACAGTAGAGCAGCACTGGGGATTGCTGTAGAGACCAGAAGGGCAAACCGAACCGCCGCCGGTGTTAGAAGTGGGAGCAGCAATGGCAGCACCTGCAAGGAGAGCGGCGACAGCGAGGAGCTTCATGTTGAGATGTGGTAGATCCAAAGTTAGAAATGGTGAAGGCAGTTGGGTGTGTGTGGATGGATTTGAATTGAAGTCGCTGAAGCAAAGTAGGAATGAAGATTGAGATGTTTCGAGAGGAGAGCTGGTTATTTATACTTGTTCGCCGCGTCCTGTATCCTTTTGACAGCTTGTTTTCCAAAGACAGAGTTTCTGTCCTTCTCGGACTTCCCGGTGCATGTAAAGAGAGTAATATGCACGGAATCAAGATGCAGCTCTCTCTGCCGAGACTCTATCCAATGACTTACATCCGTGTCGACAGCCCGCATAAGGGCTACGTGAGGCTAGCGCGCAAGTTGCAGGTATACGATCAAGCCGTCAATAAACAAGAGACTTTTGGATGCTCAGCTTTTACATCCCTGCAGTTACTCAGACCAATTCATGCGAGAGCAGTAGGGGGTGTTGGCGTACACATAAAGCATTCTGCACATGCCCCATCGCTGGTCCAACGGATACAAGCATTTCCTTCATGGAGATGTGATGATTGGCTTCCTCTAGATCTGAAATACGTCTATTTCATGTGTAGCCGACACAAGCAGAGACCTACCATTGCTTGTAGGGTATTGACATCTGCTAGAATGAACTATTAGGCCCTTGCAAGAAATAATGCTAGTTAACTGCCTTCATTAGGCAACGCTCCTCTCAAACTTGTTCTGGATACTGCATGAGAACCAACCATGGTCTGCATCATCATCGGACTTGTGTCAATCACCTTCCAGCGCCAGGGCAAAGCTCTTCCCTTCCCAACATCTCCGTCCCTGTAGAAATAAATGAACGAGGATTAAAACGGGACCTCACACCGCAACGGTTTACTGCGGAATCGGAAAACACTATACTGCTTTCCGCTCGTCCAGAATGCGGGCAACAGAATACACCCCGAGCCTGCATCGCCTTGTTGCATTTTCTCCTCTTTAAACCGTTGATGGCGGGAGTGGATTCCTGTCAACGGGATTCAAAGACGCTTGGCATTTTACGACCCAACATGCATATGTTCGTACATCCAGTACAACTCTCCCACAACTTTTCACACCCAGAGGACCTAATTTTGGCGGCATAATAGTAGTATTGCCACCGGTTCCCCCACACTGGCGCAAGGATATTGAAGCTGAACTCCTATTACGCCGCATGAAGGCTAGCCTGGAAAGAAGAGCCAGTTCATCCCACGGCCAACTATATGCTTGCACAATAGTAACTTCAAAAGTATAGCTTCTACGAGAGCCCGATTCATTGTTGCCCGGCAAACGTCGAGTAATATGCATCGTATTTCGCCTCTGCCACGCCTGTCCTTTCCGTTCAATGTGAAGTCATCCATGCCGGGTTCGGTGTTCAACAGAGGTTCTTGCTATAGTCCTCCAAAAGCTAGAGCTTGGGCTGTTCTTGTGGTTTCGCATTGTGTGTTTGCCATGGTCGCCAAGCGCAAGTCGTAGACCCTACGCCGTTGATGCCTTCATCCAGGGGGTAGCATACGATGCACATTGACAGGGGTGTATCTTTTCAGTTTACAGCAAAAGAAACAGATGGCAAGTCGGCTCCAATAACGGCAACGTTATCTTCCCGCGGAGTCCAAACATGCAAACGCCGACTTCTATCCGCCATGTCGGGCCATTGGCGGACCTTGGTTCGGCACAGATAATCGCTTCCACCTGCCCGGCCGCGGGAAATACAGGAGCAGAGCCAGGGTATACGGTCAAAGGTGGTGTTGCAGTGGGCTGGCCAAAGGTTACAAGACATCCATGGCAGTCGGGATGTCGGGAGGATGCACAGGACCTTGTCTACTTGTTTACATGTGGATATGGATAGACAGAAGCAAAAGAGAGATGCAGATAGTAGTTGATTTGGATGTGTCATGATCAAACAGGGTTCCTGCATATCAACAGGGACCAAATGCCACGTAAGGGCAACGCAGCGAAATCAGCTCCATGCAATTGAGGGGATTCACTTGCAGGAAAATAATTGCCACAGGGGGGAGCATATGATGCGCCGATTCGCTCGGCAGTTTTATTTTAAAAATCTACGTGGGGGGTTGTTTCTGCCATTTCCTCTCGTGAATAACGGCCGGTACAGCTTTCACCATTAGGATTCGTTGTGCGTTGAGTCCCGCGCTGGGCGAGGCTCCAGAGACCATGCAGAATCCCAATTTTGGCATCTATTACAAGTTTAAGAAGTTTCTTTTGCCAACCAGTCAATTGTTCCAACAAGGTGCGTTGTCAGTCAAGGCATGTCCGTGAGCGGCGGTGCCTGACATGCCGTTGGGTGAAACCATACGGCAACATGCAAAGACGACCATGTTGACAAGGGTAGTCAAAGCAGCTATCGAAACAAGAAACCGTGAGTAACGGAGTCGCCCAAGCCGCAAGTGTACGATTCGGATGCCCAAAAAAGACCTCGGCATAATGCTGATGAACTTGTGGTCAGGCATCATCATAGAATGGGCAACAGTCAAGGTAGCTACATCCCCCGGCAAGATGACATGCATAAATGGAACGAAATGTAGGTAATGGGACATGCGGACTATACGTGATCGCAGTCCGTAGGCCAAGCGACGTTGCACAACAGGCAGATGGCCAGCGCCACGATAGTTTCTCCTGTCTTGTTTCCCCAAGGAGTAAGCCGTACATGCAGCCGCAGCATTCAGCCAAGGAACTTGCTACACCTTGACGCCGATGCTCTATGGATTCCCCGAGCCTCTTGTCTAGCCACCAAAGGAGAATCGGCTGGTCGGCCATGCCGCTACGTTTTCTCAATGTCGGGTCAATGTTCTGTGGCAAGAGGCTCCAAATACAAGCTGTTTTGAAAACCCATCCCATCTTCTACAGCCCCGACGGTGATAGCTCACCAGACTCCTTGAACCTTTCCTGGTGTATTGTACAAAAGAAAAACTAGATCGAATGACTTGCATGCAGCGGCCCATCGGCCCTAACAAGGTTGTATTTTGACTCATGTCTTGATGGTGTGGTGAACTGGTGGAGCAGAGCGGCCGGAGAACGACGACATGGAGCAAGACCAAGGTTACATTACAGCCTGCAGGAGAGACAAGCTGAAGTGGCAAAGCTGAAGTTGCTATTTTAGCTAGACCTAGGTGAACCATTTCACTTGCATGATATCACTTCACGGGTAGCCGTACATATGGCGGCTTGTGTTGTACCGAAAAGCCTCAGCAGGTCAAGATAACTGCTGTTCAATTCGAACCAGTCTCAACTCCTTGCGCTTACATGGACTATTGGTTCCAAGGTATTGGATTTGACCACCCTCGAGGCATGTACGTATTACCAAATTTTGCATTACCGAAATCCTATTGGGTGATAATTTAAAAAAAGGTGTGTTCCATTCCGAGGGTAGTATGTAAGTATAAATAAACTAGCTATTAAATAAATTAACTAGGCAGTGCCTCCAGAATGCGAAATTCAAACTTAAAAGTTGCCATACTATTACGAAACTAGTATTCCTTGACGTCACACGTGCGTCTTAACCCATCCTCAACGCTCTCAAGATGGTAGGCCCCGGCAACGAGCCGAGTGACGGTGCCCATAACCTTGTAGTATTCCGCCAAACATGGCTGTTCGTTAAGGGATTCTGAAAGGTAGACACCAAATTTAGCTACTCTGATTGCAAAATAGACGCGCACCTAGTTCTACTTGCCTGTCCATATCACTCATGTGTGGCGACTTGAGACCGATGAGCACGGCAACGTCCCCGACGATACCAAACGGCGTCGGCCGACAGATTGTAGATGGCGATACCAGACAACACAGCTATTGGGTGGAATGAGCTCTGCATCATGCTGCGCCACGCAGCGGATGCGACTGTCACGGATTTGCAAGAGTTTGGGAACACGACTTGCATGTCCATCTACGGGGTAGCATCCTGGGCCTGTCAAGTTTGTTGGTTCGTGGATGGTTACTGCATAGTTGATGTGCCTTCGTAATTGAACCAGTTGGTCAATAACCAACTGCCGCCCAACTTGTGTCTCAGTTCGATACTGAGAGCACAACTGACGACAATCATCGAAACCCGCTCCCTGGTTCTATTTTACCTGATCTTGAATCCCCAAATGTCTACAGAGAATGATGAAAGGCCGGCAGAGTCCCCAAAGCCCTTTGGGGCTCGTGTATAAAGAGACTATTCCCAACATCCCTCACGACTATGGACTCTGGAGACGGCTCTACTATGACGGATGTCATGGCGATAATTCTTGGCTGAAGAAACTTCGTTATTATTGACCAGGAGGCCATCATTCAATTTGTCTTGGAGATGGGCTTCACGGCAGCCGGCATCGGGTTATTCACAAGCTAGATTATGGCGGCTCCTCGATCGTATGTCTCAGCCGTGACTAGCACGAAAACACACTAACGTACGTTGTGATGATGGCCTTCGTCGCCTGTATGAAGGAAACCGACTGCCGCGAACTACCTGCCTTCAGACTCAGAAACGCACCTCTGTCTGGTCTATCCTGTGCTTCAGCCAATGGTGAACACCAAGCAGCCTTGATCTTCAAGAAAGCGTTACTGACATTCGTCGCAAAATATCCGGCAATTCTGTTGAAGCTCAGCCGTCCTAAATGGTCGGTGCATCCGCCTTGCAGATGGGTTCTGTTAGCATTCGCCTTTCTAGTTCACTAAATTTCCCAAATTCTCGCCCGGCAAACATCGTTTCGGCACTGCGGAGTCTCCAAGGTCTACAAGAAGAACAAGTGTTAGCGCAGATCGCCCGTTGAAACAAGCAATAGATCTGAGAGGATCTCTCCCAATTCCCAAAGTTCCGTAAGATGAGAAAGACTACGAGGGGGAGATTTTCTCTGGCCCGAAAGAGCCATCTGCCAAGTAAGAATATTCAACACCGAAAACGACAAGTCTAATAAGGAAACCGCTCGCGAAATCCGCAACAAGAATCTTGGTGAGGTTATGACGCCGGAAGAGGAGCAGAGGACATGCTAGCCGGCCTGCTTAAGCACCAACCGGATCAAAGGGCAAAAGTGCAAGACCTGCTGAACAACGAGTGGCTTATGCAAAGTTGACAAAATTTAGGGCAGGGACAGACACTTTGCTGAAGCTGGACTAGTATATGATGCTTGCTGGCACTTGACCGGCCGCATCTGAGCCCGAAATGAGTTTTTCCCCGAGTCAGGAGGATGTCAGAATCTTAGGGATACCGACGCAAACAAGCGAACAACAAAGATAGATGAACATAGAATACGAAGTGGCCGCAGAGCCTGTAAATATAGTAACAGACTTTGATGGTTAACTTCTGTTATGTAGCCCAAAAGAGGACTGTGTTGTGTTGCAGTTTGACAAAGAGCAAGGAATTCCTGTTTGTTGCGACCTTTTCTTTGAAGCCCATATGTACAGCTGAGGCTCTGGACGGCGCAATGGCCCCTTTTGTCCTCATAAATACGGGATGCGTCACGCAATATGCTCATGAAGCATATGAGTAAAGGCCATTAGAGGAGCTGGCGAAGCAGTTTATCTGGCCAAGAGCGAGGTCTAAATGGACGAAACTGCAATTTCCATAAACTTTGATGGAATTTGCAGTTCCTGCGGTATTATTTTGACACGGAGGGAATGATGAGAGTACCCAAACGGCGAGGAATGCTAAGAGTGTTTTGGACAAGGCTTGGTGCTTGGTCAGTCAGCATCAATGCTGGCAACGTGAAGTGAAAGGGCTGCAAGCTCGAACCGCGTATTAGTAGAAGTGAAGGTGATATTGTAAAAGAGACAAGGCAAATTTGCCCAAAATAATAGTGTATTTAACAAAAAGAGAGCATCGCAGTGATCAGCATTGATCTTCAGTGCAGAGGTTACTAGTTTCTCATGCCCATGACAACTCCTCTGGCGGAAATAGTCGCTATTGTGCTTGAAACGTCTATCAAAGTGCATTCCAGGAGAAATCACAGCCCACGATCCAATATCCCGTTCTCTCCGCAACACTTCAATACCCCTTGCTCGCACCACCGTTCTTTGGCGCACTGCCGCCACCGCTCTTCCCCCCTTTTCTGACCTCCTTGCCTGCACCCATCGCGTGTCCAGATCTCTCATCTCCCTGAGGCTTACTCAGTTCCTGGTTGGCGCCACTTGCTTCAAGCGGATCACTGCCCTCTTCCTTCGCGGCTGTCGCACGCTCGCCCTCTGGCGAAGTCACCCCTCGACCAAACGCGGCTTTTGGAGCACTGGCAACATCATCATCTCGACCGGATTTGGTAGCTTCTGCCGACCGTGGATTCAGCGATTTTCTACTTTGTGAATCCTTGTATGGCGAATAAGAAATGGGGTTCGTGTGATATGCTTTGGTGACGAATAGTCGCGGCAAGCGGGCGGCCTGTGCTGGTCGTAAACCCATGGTGGGATCGTAATTGAGGGTTTATTGTTACGTGGAGATGGATCGTATTCAAACTATTGAAACGGTGACTTTATTACTACTTATGGCGTGTTTCTTTACGGCACAGATTTGCGGAGTAGTCATGACGTTGACCATTTCTGGGGGAGGCGTGAGCCTGACGTCAGACAACATGGGTCATCAGCAATCCGCTCCAGTACTGTACCGTAATATTGATAGCATCGTTGGGATGCAGGTACGTCTCCATCTTCATGCCGGATCCAAAACTCGCAGTGACATCGGGCTACCACGGAGGAGGCCACCGATGATCCCGTCACAGCCCGTCTGCCCCGGGGGATCGACAATGTCGATTTTGAATAGTCCACACAGGATCGGGATCCAATCCTGTTACATCTGCGCGGTATCCACCTGAATAGGCTGCTATGCAATGGCATATACTCTACGATCTACTATCAGCATCCAAGATGACAATCATCTCAATTGACACATACTCAATTGAGGGCTTCGGCTATCACCGTCAACTCGAACTAGTGGACCGGGCTTCCTGGACCGAGCGCCCGGGACCCATAACAGGCATCAAAATTGGGCCTTGAGCCAATTCATCATTGGCTGGGATCGATGCCTTCCTTGCTTCTGGGATCAAGACACCCGGTGTTCGGGTCCAATCTAACACAGATGACTCGCATATGGGATGTAACAAATCACGCGGCCTATGCCAAAGCATGGCGTGGACTGTGTATCTTGGCCAGGGGCACATACTCGCCGTCGAAACAAGTCTCGCCGACTAATACAGAGTACAATCCCGACAATTACACAGGAACGGGCGTCGAGTCGTGGATGTGCCCCGGGAAGCCCCAAGGCGTCAATCCAGATAATTCGACTACATATTTTCTCATTTAGGCTATTTGGGCAAGGACAAACGGTTCTACTAAGCCAACCTCAATGTTCATAGACCCTCAACACGCAATGCGGCGTCCATTCTCATAAGTGGCACAAAGAAGCAACTCGCCACGTGAGGAGGTTCCCGCCAATGAGGCGATAATTTTAGCATCCTTCTTTGCAATTTACAACGGTAGATTCCCTTTATTTACCAACTTTTGCTTTCACATGTCCAGTGCCATGGAACGCCCGTGGCACTTATAGTTCGACGTTGAGGGCCGGCGCAAAGGCATGTCCGGTATTCGAGCGCAGACCCACCTTCCCGATTTGGTAATGAATACAAGATCAATAACTTCAGGCACCAACACAACTACACCTCGGCAGCGCTCAATAGCACGCCAAGAGGAGTGGCTGAGTAAAGGCCAGTCGCGCCAGGAGTCTGTGCCTGTGGAATCCAGGGCTGTGATTGTACAGCTTCGGGGTTTCCTTCTCAATAAGGCAAGCTTTTCCAATATAGCGTACGCTTCCCCCAAGCATGCTGGCCGTCCCGAGCCCGACTCGCAGTTACCATGCGGCTCCTCGCCTCCACACAGTTGCCACAAGTGGAAGAGGAACTCAATAGCGAGGGATGCCAAACATTGCCATGGCTTTATTCTGCTGATAATTGACCCCACCGGCGGCGCGGGTAGTCGGCCATGCAGCCTCCCGCAAAGTTCACTTCATCGTCCATGGACGCATGGGCTTCCACGTCTCTACCACAAATGGAGACATTACCTCATAAAATGGCTTGCGAGAAAGAACCTAGATCATCTAGTTGATTTGTTAGCGTGGGAGGCGTTGAGTAATGGCGGACGCAGCTGGCATCACAATGGAGCGCTAAGTGTTGACGCGAAATCTATTGATTCCCTTCTTCAATAGTCGACTAGATTCACTGAGGGCTCACATGGCGACAATGTGACCAAAGCTCTCTCTCGTCAGACTCTACATGCATTTGTTTTGTTCCGTCTCAGTCGTTGTTTGCCCAAAAGGGATAAAATCAGCATCGTTGCCGCCGTCGTGCATGGCCTTTGCTCGTTCATCTGCTTCAAGACAACTTGCATCTGGAGACTATTGTATAGAACCGGTCAGTCCGAGACTTCTTCAAGACAACTTTTCATTTCCCTTTTCTGTCATATATATCCTCCTCTTTATTACTGGAGAGGCACCATGCACGTTACGTCCATCGTCCTCGCCCTGGCGGCCGCAGGCGCTTACGCTGCTCCAGCCCCTGCTCCAGAGGCTTCCCCTTGGTGCTGGCGACCTGGCCAACCTTGCTGGAAGGTCAAGAGAGTTGCTGAAGCCTTCTCTGGGTCGATCAAGTCTTCCGGCGCACTGAAAGAACGCACCCCTGAAGCCGAATTCAGCAACGCCCCTGGCGGAGCTGCGTATCAGATCAAGAGATCCCTAAATGAGCTCGCCCACGTTGCTTCATTGACTGCCCGCGAGCCTGCCGAATACTACCGCGACCTGGGTCTTGAGACTAGATTCGCCGCTGATGAAGGACTCGACAAGAGAGACGCAGTCGCGGAGGACAAGCGTCAATGGTGCTGGCAGCCTGGCCAGCCTTGCTGGAAAGACAAGCGTTGGTGCAACGCACCCGGACAGCCCTGCTGGAAGGCCAAGAGGGCCGCCGAAGCCGTCATCAACGAAATTCGCGACATGTCAAAGAGGGACGAGGGGGGCGACGCTCCTCTCTTCAACCCTGGCAACCAAGGCGGCCACTTCCCTGCCATCTGCAACGGCCCAAACATCCTGTGCTTGAAGACGAAGCGTGAGGCGAGCCCTGAAGCCAACCCCGAAGCCAATCCACAGTGGTGCTGGAGGCCGGGTCAACCATGTTGGAAGGCCAAGCGTGATCTTCACGCTCTTGACCTTGCCGCCCGCAACGTTGTCGAATCTCTTGAATAAAGAGTCGGGGCACAACAGGGGGTTCTTTGAGACAAACTCTTCAGTACTGTATTACTTACCTCTTTATTTTACGCAGACCTGGGTGGATTAGCCGTCGATTTGTTTTACTAGTGTTAATGGCGTGGCCTTTTTCTTCTTTTTTTTGGGTATGGGAAAATGAAACAGACAAAACATGCGGGGCATGGGAGACGCCTGGGTCAGGATGTCTAAATGAGTTTATGTTGCTTCTTTCGTTTCTCCCGCCGTGCTGAAGAGAGATATTCAAGCACGAGCGTTCTTTTAATGCCGACAAACAACGCAGGACGGAAACCTGTCGTTTGATCATCGTTGCGCACACCAGCAGCCAGCCACAACACCGTGAACAGCAGGGAATATATATGGACACTTGCGCTCAATCATGTATACTGTTCGATATAATACTCCAACGAAAATACAGTTTGGTTCCAACTGAAAAGGTGCAATTCGTAACACCATGTGCCTAGATGTGAAGTCTGGCGATTGGTCATGTGACCAACAGCCTCGTAGAGCGTTGGTTGCGTCAGGCGATGAATCGTTGGTGGGCAGGTTCAGCCAAGCGATAAGAGGAAACATTTAATAAAATAATCTACGCGACGATGAGCATAAGGCGACCAGTGGGCAAGAAAAGTACAGTCACCACAATACGTAGAGGTCTTCCGGGCAAGACCTCCGGTCGCTCATGGCGTCAATTGCCAACTCCCCAACCCATTCTCAATACACAGCAGGGGTTTTTGGTGACTAGAATATTCCTCTCGTCTTTTAGGACATTGGCACATAAAGGCACCCGTCGGTCTCGGCAATTGAGCGAAGCATTCAGAACCCTAGTGTCGACATGGGCATGTACGTTCAATCATTGCGATCCTCTCCATTTGGCTACTGCCAGGAGAGCACCGCACCCAAGATTGTTCGATTTCATCTCCGTTTCTGTTCCTCAGTCACCGGCAGTCTTGGGCGCAGGCTGTAAAAGCACACCTCGGACCAGCATGTTGCGAGAAACTTGAACGTGTTTTTTGCGTTGTTCATTTTTGAATGAAGGAAAAGAAGAAAAAGAGCAAAATGGAGAATAATTTTCCGGCCTTTTTGGCAACGGCCAGAGTGGGGCCCTGGGTTTGTGCCTGAGAATCTTGCTTGGCATTTGGTGTGGAGGCCTGGAATTTCAGGCATGCACCAGAGGCACAGAATTGGTGCATGTGGCTCGAGAGCAGCTTCGCCGCGCGCCGTTCTTGGAAGTCAATCGCATTTCCAGCCTTGAGCCTAATGGTGTTGCCCAACGTGGCGGCCCTGCTTGCGCAACTGGGGCGCTCCGGGGGTCCCTGCATTGCAGATGGGCAATATTTCATCACGGGAGACTTCCGAAGGAAATGCCATGCATCTCCATTTCTGTTTTGTATCAACCGGAATTAAAGTGTGGCGATGCCGTCATGACCCCGCCGCACAAGAACCAACGAACATCAACATGTGAACCTTCAGCTCATGCCTATGCCTTGGCACGCAACCAACACAGCCATCCTCTCACATGGTCAGCGTGTGTCAACAGTGGACTTGGCGTCACACGGGCGAATCTCCGGCACGTCCAACCCAACCCAACATTGAACTTGAACTCTGGCACACACTCCCATCCTGCTGCCTTTTCAACAAACATTCACCACCGCCACCATGACAGATCATCACATTTCATCCAAATTTTCCAAGCTCAATCCCTTCGGCTCCGACGACGAAGACGGAGGGGAGGGCATTGCCGTCGACTCTGTGGGCGGCGGAGGTCGCAGCACGCGGAAAGCTCACCACGCAAAGCAGCAGCTCAACGTCAGCAATGCTCTTCGCAAATACCTTGCCAAGCAGAAAGTCATTGCAGAGCACGATGCAGGCATCGGCTCCAATGAAACTACTCCTGCCTTGCGCAGCTTGCTGGGCAAATCTCACTTCGACGTGCCCGAGTCGCTGCTGGACAGGTCCCGCCCCTTGCCAGAATACTTCATCAGCTCCAGCCACAACACATATCTCATGGCGCACCAGCTGTACGGGACGTCGTCGGCATCGGCATACGAGACTGCCTTGAAGACGGGGTCGCGGTGTGTTGAAATAGACGCCTGGGATAACAGCGCGAATCCTGAGGAACCCAAGGTCACTCACGGTTTCACTCTGGTGTCGCATATCTTGTTCAGGCAGGTGTGTGAGACTATTCGGGATGTCTTTGACGAGGAAAAGGCCATTGCGCAAAAGGACCCCTCGTATGCTGTTGCGCCTATTTTGCTGTCGCTCGAGAACCATTGCGGTGAGCAGGGACAGAAGCGACTGGTGGAGATTATGAAGGAGGTTCTTGGGGATCGACTACTTGCTCAGCCGGTAATACAGAAGGGCCATCGAGAACAGAGCGGCGAAGATGAACATGTGTGTCTGGCTGATTTGGGCGCCTGTATTGCTGTCATTGTCGAGTACGATCTCAAGGGAGATGTCGGCGCCGCTGAGGAATCCGAGAGCGAGTCGCCGTCGGACAATGAGCAGGAAGGGGAGGAAGCCAAAGCCGCTCGAAAGGCATACAAGGAGAAGGCAAAAGAAGCTGCTCCCGCCGGTATCATCCCCGAACTAGCAGACTTGGGTGTATACGCCCAGTCTGTGAAACCAGTCGACAACTCCTGGTTCAACCCAGGTACTCTTGTAAACGGGCCGCACCACCACCTCATCAACGTCTCCGAATCGGGTCTGTCCTCACACCTCCCCGATGAATCCGTCGCCATCGCTGCCCACAACTCTCAACACCTCATGCGCGTCTACCCCAAGGGCACACGAATCTCCTCATCAAACCTGAAGCCCCTCAAGTTCTGGGCCATCGGCGCGCAAATCTGCGCTCTCAATTGGCAAACATTTGGCACAAGCAATCAGCTCAACGACGCGCTGTTCAGCGGCTCAGAGGGCTACATCCTAAAGCCAGCAGCTCTTCGAAGCGGCGGCGACGGCAGAATCCTCACTGGCAAGAAAAAAAGACTCCGTTTGCATGTCGCCGGAGCAACGGATATCCCCGTCCACGAAGACCGAGAGGCAGACTCTCTCAGGCCGTACCTGACATGTAACTTGTACAGTCCAGGCGACATTGAAGGTGACACATATAAGCGCAAGACGACATCGTATAAACATCACAAATTCAGCATTCTACATAGGGGTGACAACCCTCCGGTTACAGAGCCAATTTGGGATGAGACACTGGAATGGGTCTATGAAGATAATGAGTTGGTCTTCCTGCGGATGCTCATCAAGAGTGACGATGCGTGGGCTAGAAACCCCATGATTGCGGTGGCCGCTATTCGGCTACTGTATGCCGTGCCTGGATGGAGCTTCATTCGCATGATGGACATGAAAGGCGGGGAGACTAAGTGTACAATCCTGGTGAAGATTGAGATTGACGACGTTTAAAATGACACGCGACGAATATAAAGACGGTATAGGATCTAACTTGTAGACCCAATACAGAAAAACTATCCGTCACTCTCTCATTGATCCAGTTAACCGAGTGTAATCAACTCCCGCTCTCTCCCAACATCTCTTCCAAAGGGGCATTTCTATCAGCCTCGCCTTGTCATTCTCCTCGATCCCATCCTCTTCCTAGATCTTGCACTCTTCATCATCCTCGGCCTTGCCACTCACCAAATCCGCCGTCCGCGGATCAACCGTCTTGGCCCCCCTCCAAACCTTGCATCCAAAATACAAGATAGCAGCCACAAGAGAGGTTATGCGGATGATGAGGCTAACGAGGGCAACGCAATAGATAAGGACGCCAGATTCGGTGCACTTGACGAGGGATCTGGGTGCTTGACCGTCTGGATAGTGTCAGCTCGTCTCTGCTCGGGTATAAGTGAAGTCAGCTTGTGAACAGAGCAGTAAAGATGGCCCTTTCCGCAAGACATGCCCGAGAGGAGAACCATGGCATTGATCAAGCCGGACAGCCCCGTGATGCCCAAGCTCTGAATCACAATCACCCGCAGGCTGGCAGCCGACCCGGCGGCATGATCTTCAATGGCCCCCATGAGCCTCTTGTCCCTGAAACTGCAAAGGATGCCCACTACCAAAGCGCCAAGTACATAGAACCCAACCAGTCTGTAGAAAATGAGCTTGGCGACGCGTGGGATCGTCCGTCTAGGGTTCTGGTCCCTGGATCTCCCCCATGCCAAGGGCAATCATGTCCAGGCCGGAAATGGTGAATCCGGCATTTGACAGCATGACCTTCCACCAGCGCAGAAAGCGACCTACCGCTGGCGCCCTCAGCGTCGCGACGGCACTGTACCCGACGCAGACGAGGATGAGTCTCGGCTCCCATGCCCAGGCACTCTCTGACTCTCTCGCCCGCGCTGGCCTTGTCCCGGGTAGCGCCGCGACCCTGATGCCTCGGACTTCTAGCCCTCGACCCAACTGTCTATCCCGTTTGACGGGAAGGCAGCCGAACTAGGAAATCTCTTCCGTGTGACAGAAGTCAAAGACTGTGCCGTCGGTCTAGTTTGATCCCGAGGTATCGTATTTCTCGCTACTGTTGGGTTATTGTAATTTGTGACCCTGTGCCGGAGAGGAATTTGTGCAGAGGTCCTTCGATACGTCAACTTTAATCATGAGGCATGGGCTGAAAGTCGTGAAAATGAATTGGATACTCGGCGCCGGTGGCCGATGGCGTGACTACAAAATAAACGGCACGTTCCGCTTCCAGGAAGGGTTTGAATTTCGAAATGAGCCCTTTGTATATGTGTAATGTGGACACTTGAATGGAATCACAATATTCTCGACTAATTGAACTATAGCATGGTCATAGTGGAAATGTGAGCATGTATGATCTAATCCATGTGTCTACCAGCGCGCGAGGAGTTCATTGTCGAGCGGGTAATTGATAGATAGGGGACGGAATAATTTATTAGCTTAGCCAAAGAAATCTGCGGAAATCGATGTATCAAGTCACCTGGTCTGGCCAGGACTTGATGGTCTGGATCCAAACTAGCTGTAGATACTCCATGAGTAACTCTGTAATATTTCCAGCAAATCGTGTGCCTGTAGTAGTCTAGGTTTGAGCCAGCAACCCGAATAAACTACCCTTCTATACACAATTGCTTCACTGTATAGGGGGCAATAAAGGAATAATGAGAAGCGTATGACGATTACCTGCGGCCGGGTCAATCTCTTCATCCCAACCTCTTCCTTCGGGAACTCATGGTCGATAACAATGACCGGTCTTGCTGCTAGACCAGGATAAACAGTAAACCTAGAAACTTTCCGAAAATTGACACCTCGCAAAAATATTGGCGGGCCGGATGTATAGCAAGGGCAGATTTGACATAAGGGCAACATCCGGGCTGGCCGGCGTGTCAGAGAGACATGAAAGCACTGGAGACACGACGCCCGATAACGTCAAAGTTGTCTCGGTGTTGCATACAGTAGCAGTTGAATTACGCAATATTCAGCAGGCAGCAGTTAATTGACCGCTACTCGACATCTGTGTGATGAACAAAAGACTGAAGACGTGAGTGTTTCATTTGATGGCTGAGCCCGATGATCGGTGCTGGATTCGGTCATCGAGACATAGAATGAACGATATAAAACACCTGGCGGGTATCAGGATCGTGGGGTGAAGAGCTTGGGGGCATGTATACGTGGGGAGGGGATAGAAGACTTGAAGTTGTAGTTGACGAACAGAATGTACGAATGCCGCTGGCTTGATGGAGACGAATTCCGGCGCTATTGCGATGCCGACAACTTTCTGCAGTTGAGAGACAGCCGTGCATTCTTGGCATGGGCTGGGTAACCGGCACTTCGTAGCTGCTGATCTGCGATCAAGGCTGTTTCAGTCAACGATAGAAACAAAGTGCGAAGAAGCAGACAGGCAGGTCAGGTTGCATCGCCAATTGTCGATGTGTGAACCATACCGCAAGCGATGTAGCATGGCAACGTCATGCTTACCTCTTGTACTGTGCGAGGTTCCTGAGGGTCTAAAATTGACGCTTTGTTGACGCTATGATGGCTGTCTCAACGTAGTTGTGAGACAGCTAATGACCTCGCTTGCTACACTCGCCATTTCCACCAAGTTGACTAGCTCCGAACAAATACAATGTGCTGTCATGGATAGCAAGATGTGTCTGAGCAACTCCGTATGTAATTCATTAATCAACTTGACTCAGCAGTCTCCAACATTGAAAACCACAATGTTGTTTCTGTTGGGGCAAATAGCTCAGTCCAAGTACGTCACAGTTTTGGTCCTATTCCATCCCGGACACCTTTGTGACGTCGGTCGCGGGAAATGGCATGCCCCATGACGATAGCCAAGTATTAACTTGTACAACAACTGCAGAAACCAATCAGTCTGAAAGCATTTGCCTGATTCCTGCCATGGGAGCATTCCCCTCCTCCTAGATGACCAAGATTGTTAGAGTCGGCACCTGCGGGTTTGGCCACGAAAATCGATTCACAAAAATCCCCAGCGACGCCACGGCTGTGCTGTCAGAAAAATTGCGAGGCTGTTGAACCACTTGATGCGATATGAGGCCACAGGTGGCAAACACTCCGTATCCTGCCTTGGAGATCTGGGAAGTCTGAGGCTGGCAAGCTGGTAAGGCCAGCGAGTGTTGCGTAGTACTGTTTTCAAATACCCCGGCACACGGAGCAGTGCCGATCCATGACATCAAGCGAATCCACCCGAGGTGCCAGACGAGGTGAGGAGAATTACTACCAATCCCCTTCTTTCAGCGACGTTTTGGTTTCTCACTGGCCCAAACAAGCCGAAAGGAGATGGTGAGGATGAGCGGGGGCCACCGTTTTGTATGTATGATAGCGATTTTTTTGTCGATGCTAATTTCCATGTCCCCGCTTTGTCCACGAGGATGGAGCATCGTCGTGCGGCGGGTAGGAAGGGGGAAAGGTGCGGATACAAATATGTTGTTGAATTAATAGTAGTAGAAAGAGCCGCTTGAATGATGTCCACATCTAGAAGATTGCTATATTGAGTTACAGATATTGGCGATGCTCTTTTCAGTGTTATGACAGATCTAATGTCGAACAGCGAGATTTTAGCAACAAGCAACACAGGGTCAGTTGAGGGTTGTGACAAATTGCGTGTTGAGATTGAGCACGGCTTCTTGCGGCCAGGACCGTTCCCTCGCAGCCCATTCAGACAGACCCTGTGTTGACCGTGCGGCTGTCCAAGTACGGAGTAGGGAGAATCTGAATTGCATATCGAGAACGGCAAAGAGCGGCGTGGCAATGCAGCTAAGAAATCCCCAGACCGGGGATTCTGGCCCCTTCAACTTTGACGGGGTGGGCGGCTTGAAAGAACAGACAGATGGTTCGCCTAGTTTGCCCGCGGCTGACAGCACCCGCACGATCCACGGTGCCGTTACCATGGTGGGAATGGAGTGCAGACGATCTGGAAAAATCGAGGGTGCTGACGATGAACCAGTTCCAATGACGAACGGTCATGTGTGTGATGTTGTTTCTACCCAAAGTCCACGTTGACGCGTGATTGGCGTGCCAGCACGAGAGCTGTTGCCTCACTTTCTGAAGTACTCCCCAGGGTCGTACCTTCCCGCCCAAGCTGACAGTCTTTTACCGCCAACGACGCCCTCCCTGGGTTTCTGCCTAGGATTGTACATACAGTTTGATTCAATATTCTTCCATCTGACCCTGAACCGAACAACAACACTACTTTGCTTCATGATGCAGGTTGTGGGCACACGTTCCCATGGTCCATTTGCCATGCCGCCGTGGCTTGACCGCCCCGTTACCAGCTGCCCAGGTCAGCAAATTCCGGTCACGGGACCGGAACCGAGGTACCTGCAAACTGCACCACGGCCGACAGGGGGGACTCGTGGCAAGCTGACAGGCATTCTGAAGCTCAGCGTGGTGATACGTGGTGAGCCTCTTGCCTCTCTGCTCTCAGTATTCCTCAAATCACCCTTGCCTCCCCCCCTCTTAATCGCTGCAGCCGTGTTGTCCCCCTCAAAGACCCATTGGCTTTGGGCCTCCCGCGGACTGGCTGACTGGATTCCCGTCGCTGCAAGCTGCAGGTTGGCCATGTTGCGGATGCGCCGTGCAAGGCATGCTTCGTGTGGCGTCCAGGACGTCGTACAAGGATCATTTTCGAGCACCGGTGTGCGACCCTTGTCTACGGAGTCGCAGGGGGGAGGATCCAGCTTGTGGCGCCTATGGCGTCACAACCCGCTGATCCCTTTGTTCGTCGTGTTTTCGTCCAAATACCAATGCTCTTGGCCATCTAGCTTGCCAGCCAGCGAATCGTCGTAGCCTTTTCTTGGCCGGGAAGGCAGACAGACGCAGGCAAGCTATGCCCTTGATCAGCCGTTGGGTCCTTCGATGTCACCGGCACCATCTTCTTGGCCTGTCACCGATACCAAAGAAGACGACGCATGATACGGAATACATCTCTGCCTGTCACGCTGCTGATAATGCAAACCGAGGCATTCGCCATGGGTGGCTTTTTGCTGAGGGATCTTATCCTTTGGGCCTTGGCGGTGGGACTTGGAATGCCAAACTACCTCTTCTGGCACAAACAGCCTGTTGGACCATGAGTGTTGTGACGACGCTGTCCTGGCCTGTTTTTATAGCAACAGTGCCATAATGTCTAAGGGGCCAGTCAACCGTGTTCTGGGCAATAAACATGCCATCTGTCATTTTGCTGTCTGCACAGCCTTGAAAATAAATTCCGGCGTTCCAAGGACATCTGACGCTCAGGGCTCCGCGAAATTCTTGTCTCACAGAAACGAAAACGGAAGGAACCAAATCGTCAACTGGATCGGGGAAGCATGGTCTTGAAACGCCCACTTCAGTGTTCGAATGGAAACATCCGGTACCCAGTTGAGATATTCTGCCCCGCTCAGGAGGTAGGCTAACGCCAAACCAGCAGACGCGGGCATATTTCCATGTGTCTGTGGTGACATTTACCCAGTCATCCTAGCACCGGGGGTGATGTAGCCAGCGATCAATTGATAAATCAACAAACTACGACACGCTGACGGCTATGTAGGTAGCATGACGATGAACAGATACACGTTTCCTCCACCTAAGCAAGGGTTGAGCAAGCGCTGAGCGTCGGGCATTTCGGCTTTCTCTGCGGGTTTTGTTGATGGACGGCCAAGTTGATGCCTTGAGCAGTAATCACCGGTCATTTTTTATCCGCCTCGTCCTCACCATGACAACACTCTGCACGCCGCCAGGCGCCGATCCACCATCCACAAGCGACTGGAGCCTATCGTCATCCGTTGCGACGCCAAATGGTCCCCTCTGCTTTTACACCGTACCAGTTAGTTGCCCTACAAGTTTCCCTGCTCTCGGGATATCACTCGACTGTTGTAGGCGCGCTATTTCACAGCCAGCCCGAATTTGGCCCCCTTGAGCACTTCATTCGCCCATGAGGACTAGTATCCCAATTCTACGGAGTAATCGTACTCTATCCACACACACATTTCGGGCATCTGTTGTCTTGGTCAACTCCACTTCCCGCTTCATTGTCTCCTTAGTACTAGTAACTAAATAATAACCCACTTTGGAACGACGGTCAGGCTTCCATGCTCCTTTTTTGTTGTGGATGGTTGGGATTGATTGCGAGTTCTAGGACAGGCCAGATGGCGTGTGACATGGCCTTCAAACTTCAAACCACCTGCCAAGAACTCACCGTGACACTTCAACACATCCTGCTCGATAATCTTGCCAACATTGCTTCGGAATACTAGCCCTAAGATGGCAAGAAGCTATCCTAGTAGGATTACTTGGCAAAACGGTGAAAGAAGTGCAACGTGTGCAGTAATTAGCTGCGGCCGAGCCTTGCTGTTGCCCTGACCCCCAATACAGGAACACAATGACGCAACCAAAAGGTATGTCAAGGTATAATATGACGAAGGCTGTGCAGTCCCCGAACTCCAAACCAAGTTTGCCGTGATTGTAGGGAGTACTAGTACTAATAATCTGCAGGCATCGGCGCCCGTGTCAAACCCATATGTGCTCTGTGCTCTGACAAACATGCCCACCGGAATATAACAGTGACAAGCGATCCATAGTGCCTGCGGAGGCTCGTTGGCGCCCAGACAATCTATACGTAATGTAACTTTGAAGCCAAAGGAAAGAAAACAAACCAATCGATACGGGAAGCCCATGGTACATGACTCTTGCCGTACAGTAGACAGCGTTGACTGACTCCTGCCAGACACAAACAAGTGCGCTGCTTGAGGACAAGGACGAGGGTGTGCTGGCGACAACATTGAATAAACATACTTAAATGGGCACGGGCTGCGACTTGGGCCCGGAAGAAAGAGAGGGGGAGACAAAGAGGGAGGACCAAAAAACAATGTGCGCCTGCGGTCGTTTGGCATGCCAGGTGTGTACATAAGTATTTGTCATTTGCGTGCAGACAACATTGAAGACAATAAAAGGAACGCAAGTCATTTGTTGTCGCGACCAACGTCCATGTCATGTCAGTGTTGCTTGGATTGCAGTGAGAGTTCAGCGAGCATTGAAGCGCTCTGATTGCCTAGCACCCGGCCTGTTTGTGGTACATGTCAACTGGTACATTGTACCTCCGGGCTGGTGGTGCGCCTCCAGAGGCCGTTTTCGTGAGGCCTTTGGCAGCGGCCGCAAGAGGAGCATCGGGAGGATGGATATGTACATGCGTACCAGACGGCTTGGGCAATGAGGTGCCACACCCGGGAGACGATTGAACATAATCGGTACAGAGAAGCAGCATTCAACGGTATTGTAATTCGATGCTGCTTTACTGTCGTGGCAAGTTGAAGTGACAAAAGTGCACGTGTGGCCCCCACCTATAATGTCAATCTGTTCAATTTTGTCAGCGGGACATCTGTCGGCGCCTGGCAAAAAGGGCATCGATGAATTGATCAGTTGACTGGACATACACCCGCTGACTCTGCGTGGTCGAGCGTGTGCCCCGTGCTCCGTGCTCCGTACGGAGTACTGTAGTAGTATTCAGTCTTGACTTGTCGAGCCGTGCATGCATGCCCCAGAGAGAGAAGAAGTCAACGAGTGTCGACTCATCAATCTTGGTGTCTTTGCACCGGACATCTCGTACTCCGTAACGCTCGCCTCGAGGATCCGGCCCACCCCCTGACTTGTACCGTCAGGCCAACGGGTCGCCCCAGCGCCACCGTCCACTGTCTGCCATCCACTGTATGGAGCTGCCGCGGGCCCGCTTCGATGCTTGACGTCCTGGTGCTGGTGGTACCAGGCCAGACATGGACATCAATCCGGCACTGACCAGCCCCAGTACCTCGACTTATGGGGTCAAATGCTGGCTGTGGTCGCCTAGAGCCGGCCGGCAACCACCCGGAGCTCAACTGTTCCAAGTGCCTGGCAGGTCAACGGTGCACCTGTGCCCAATTGTCCTTTTATCCACCCTCCTCCCTCCTCTCTGCCATTGCCCCGAATCGCAACTTTTCGACCCTCCTTCTTTTTCAACCACCACCACAGCCTTCTGCCCGCCTGCCGCCTTCCACATTCAACTCCCAAGGCGCAGTGGCCGTGTTCGACAACACACGCCTTGGATGGTTCCAACGGCTCTGTAAAACTTCTTCTCTCTACCATTGGCGGCCTTGACTTTTTCTCTTCATTTTTTTCTCCCAACCTTTCTTGGTGCGAGTGCCTCTAATTCTGACGGGCTCGACATCACTTGCCACCGTCTCGCAACACACGTTCAGATTCAGGCTGTGGGCAATACGCACCGGCTACCACACCAAGGCCACTGTGCAGGATATTTTTTTCTTCTTCTGACGATCCCTCCGGCGGGCGCCTACAGAGAGAACCGACCTCGATCACGAACTTGTTGCGCAACGGCCATAGTCTGCTCGATGGCCATGTCAACCGATCCCGACTCACAATCCAATGGCTACGATGGCCACACACACCCGATCGAGCGATCCGACTCTTCGGTGTCGACATCCACTTCTGAAAACAATGAACCCGACACCAGTCAGCCTGTGATTCACCAGCCTGTGCCCACTCGCCCACGAATGCCAAGCCGAAAAAGCAGTGGTCCCCTCGTCGTTCCACGCGACAGTTCCGAAGTTGGTCCCGTCGACCCTCAATTCGGCCCCGACGATGTCAGAGCCATGAGTCCTCGACGAACCAGCGAAGACATTGACAGACTGGGTAAAGAAGCCCGAGAAGAAATGCGAAGGTGAGATTCTGGATGTGGGAGGGTAGCAAATCTACACTCGAGCTTCTCATGGGATGCCGTGTCCCCCATTACGTGAAGAAAAAAAAATCAAAATCGAATGTATAAGCTAATTCCAATACCAGACATGCCAAAGCCTTGCAAGAGTCCCTCATCACCATATTCAATCGTATCGAGGCAGTGCGTGAAGAGCACGACAAGTTGGATAACAACAACAAGTTCCTTCAAAAGTACATCGGCGATCTAATGAGCACCACTAAGATTACCTCATCCGGAAGCCGGGGAAAGAAATGAGTATCGGCATGCTTCAGAAGACGTGCTGCGGTGAAGGCTGTGAGAAACTTGACACGAGCCTTTGGAAGAAGCAACCGGATTAATAGCGCATTCCATCGAATCACGAGTCAATCCCGATGGACATTCTTTGCGTATTCGCCGCGCACAACACCTTACATGACCAACTCATATTTTCCCCTGTGGCATCCAACAGGGCATTATTTTCCCCAAAACAGTCACAACGAGTCACGAAACCACTGAAAATCAGTGGTTCATCATCTCCATCATACATGGCTTCAACACCGACCCACCATGGGCATGATACCCAAGCCAACGGGCACACCTATTTGTTTTTCATTATTTGCATGTCGCGTGGGGTATGCTGGCCACGGTCCCAACCTGATGAGGTGACCCCTCGCAGACACATTTGATACCAATCACCTTGTTTCATTGTACACTAGCTACGACCTGGCGGAACACAGCACCAGAAAAAAAGATGTTGGCATTCACCGCCCTTCAAGGGCCCCTTGAATGCATGTCGTTGCGGACGGGGCCAGGAGAGGTCGTCACTACTGTCGTAGTGCTGCCAGTGTTGTTAACAGATACCATACTGAAGCGGCGAATCGAGCGCCTCGTTTTTATCCTTTGGCAGCATTTTATCATTGTTAGTCCCCGCTTGAACAGTCACCAAATTATTTGTCCGGGGGACACGGTACGCAAAGGGGGAGTCGTATGGAAAAAGCATATTGTTAGGCGTTTACGGGAAGCGAGTTATGGGACGCTTCGGGCCACTTTTTGATTTCTGCATCAAGCAACGTTAGATTGCGGGCGGCGTGGGCAGGTTCACGAGGAGCGGCGGCATGAGGGAAAATGAAAAGAGGAAAATAGTAGGGCGCCATGTTTCCGCAGGGGGCGATGAAATTGGTGCTCGGCATGGACAGCAGCGGGCTCGTCCAACTACTGCGAAGTGAATATCATTACTTTACCGGGACAAGAGCAATAGAAGAGCACAGTGATTTGACATGGCTTATTGTGAATGGCGTGACGTCTGTGGAGTCAAGTCATGTACATACATACATGTGTCGGTTGACATGAGGACGGAGGAGGTAATAGACCGGGGCAAACGCCGAGGAGGACTCAAAAGACGTCGTTGGGTTTGACTCTGGCTTGCATCTATCTGTAGGGAGCTGCGTCTGCATGCAGCGGCCGGCAGCTTCATTTGACAACAAGACACAGGGACAAAGGGGACAAAAAGGTGGTCACCAGGTGGATAAAGAAAGACTGGCGCCAATTCCGGGAGACGACGTCCACGTCAATCTGGGTTGTGCTCTGCACGGCGCCGAAGACGGGCCTGGCGACATGACGTCGCTTGACGAGGCCAGCATCAATTCGGTTGATGGCACTGTATTCGCCGGCAGCGGCAAATTGGCAGCGGTTTGCCCAATTCCAGCGTTGGGCTCACGCCCACGTCTCTTTGTAGTAGCATCGTGGCCCCCCGTGCCATTGCCATTGCCATGGACTACATGGAATGCGCACATTGGTCCATGTCCGATGGCGAGGGCCGGCATGAATGGGATTCTGTCATGGCAAAAGAGGTTCCCCGCCTCCTTCTTCTCCCCTTCCCACGGGACCGACCACCCTCCCCCTTTTCCGTCAGACCGTCGACATCTCGTGCGGCGTCGGCGTGGTGGTGGCACAAGCGTTTTTTTTTTTTTTTTTGGCCCCGTCTCTGGGCCACGCATTGGGCCATCTTGTGAGCTGCAGAGTCCATGTCGCATTGCGTGTTGCACAGCGACTGCGGCGCTTGCCTTGCCGGCGGTGGTGGCGCTTACAAATGTCGATGCCACGAGAAGGACGGGGGGGGGGGGGGGGGGGAGAAGGACGGGGGGGGGGGGGTCTGGTGGAACATTGGGACTACATAAAAATAAAAGCCCGCCGGTGCCAAGGCCTTGGGCACAGGATTGGGCCAAGTTTTCTGTCGTGTCGGGCTCGGGGCGAGCTCACGTCGATTCCCGCGGATCCGGAGACAGAAAACCTGGCCGGGATGGGCCTTGCCTGGCATACATAAATACGTCGATACATACTTGACATGCTAGACGCCAGGAATGCCGGGTGTTGAGGGCCCTTGGGTATAGCGGCGTAGGCGAGCCCCGAGGCAGATGATCTGGTACGACGGGGGAGGCACTTGGGCAAACGAAAACGACGTGCTCCATACCGTACGGATTCAATCCTTTTTTTTTTTTTCGCCCTTCATGACAACTGGTTGTTAAAACTTGTCGACGGTGCTATTTACAGGCCGGCTGGCGGGGAATGAGGCCATGTGACGCCCTGGTGGCAGCCCTGACCCCTGTCGCGCAGAGCGAAGCCGGATCGTCAGTGGCGGTCTGCAGGGTCCTGGCGGCCCCTTTTTATCGGGGCCTGGCGGCTTTCTTTGTTTTTGGTTTTTTTTTTTTTTTTTTCAAATGGCCGTCTGGTAGCTCCACTCTTTTTTATTTTATTCAAGTATAAAAGTGTGTGTGTTTGTATCATGAATGGGTCATGGATGGGGTGTATGTTTCTGAACTTTTTTATTGTTCGTTTGTATTATCCAACAGCACGAATACATTTCAAAATAATACACCGTCAGTCAACTAGGGTGGATGCGGAAGCATCGCCACGGCAAACAATAATTCTGCCCGTGTTTTAGGCAGCATACCCTGCAAACCATCTGTTTATAGAGAAAGACATGTCTGGTAGAATGGTTACTTGCCCGGACAATTATCGAGTACAGAAAACCAGCCACTATCTCCAAGGACAAGTGGTGTCAAGCCTAGAGACGGGAAGAGCCTAGTGCCTATTACAAGATTAGTACTAGCTACGTCAAAACGCTAGAAAGTACACGTTTCTCTCGTAAATAAGCACGTAAATCATAAAAGGGCGCTTACATATGCCGAATGAATTACCAAGGCGCTCTTTCGTAACTTGCTCGTCATTAAGAAGGTGAGAATAATATTGCCCGCTCTCATAATCATTCGCAAGGGGAACGTGAGCTACATACAGCAGGAACAAGAGCGCAAACATTGCTCATCAGAACGAGGTCTAGTCGTAATACCTGGGACTCTCCCAATCATGCAGACGACATTCGTCTTGACAGACCATTTTCCTCCACCATGCAGCAAGCTAGTCAAAGTGTCAAGAACGCAGCACGCTCTTCAGTCTCCCGAGCCATGATATCCATCATCAGTCCTGCCCCTGCCCCCTAAAGCCCGTGGACTTGTATATCTGCAACAGTCTAGCAGGTGTGGCTGGACAACAAACATGCCTAGCAACCCTCGGGGAAACATTCGTCCCAAGATATGCAAAACACACTTTTCTCCCGCTGGCTGAAACAAGACGTTGAAGCGCCCGTCCAACGTGACCCGTCTCGCGCAGGCTGACCGGTTCCCGTTTTGGCTGGCGCGCAGGAAAGCGCTCCGAGGTGATTGGTCGGGATGGCACGGCGTCATGTGGCGCGGGCCGGTGCAGGACAGGCGGCTGGTGGGTGGGTGGTGGGCATGACGTCAGGGGTGAGGCGGCGAGTGCGAGGCGGCGTCGAGGCTTCGGGTGTGTGACGTGCATGATGGGATGGTGACCTGGGGGCGCTGATGGGTGCTGCGCTGGTGCTTCTTCCATTATTTCTGCGGCCGTGGCGTCCTTCACTGGGCTGCGTGGGCAGCTTCCATGTTGGCTGGATGGGTTGGTGGATTGATTGATTGATAAATGGCACGAGACGTCCAGGGTGAGGGGAGGGAAACATCACATAACGGTGTAGCGTTGACGAAATGAAATGGTTCGATACAGACACGCACACGCACGCACGCACGCACACACATTCTCAAAAGAGGCATCAAAAGTAGAATCGCACACTCTCTTGTCTACCGTCTGCCTCATGCCACTATCCTGCCCTTCTGCCTGTTCATGCCCTCGCTTTCACATACCAACGGCCCTCCCCCCGGCCCACTGGCATCCAAGCTCACTGTCACGCTCCTCCTCTCGCTAATCACCCTCACTGTCTCGCCCAGATTCCTCCAGTCCACCTCGCACGGCGCAGTTGTGCTCGCTGCTCCTCTGTGTCCCTCCGCCGGCGGCACATCCCTAATTTCCACCGTTGGGTACGGCAGATAGCCTTCCCTCTGGGGGATCAGCACCAGCGGGATTTCGGCCTCCGTCTCTGCAGTTGACGACATGGTGCTGGGCGCTTTGCCCCCGGGGATGACAAAGTGTCCCCTTCGACGACCGCCAATGAGCCAGGCGTCGCTGGGCGCCGTGACCTCGTAGCTGAACTCTTCGTCCTCCCGAGCCAGCGCGTCAGTGTCCCATATGCGTGTCCATTTGAGGTGGAGCGTCGCCGGAAGGACTTGGTTCACCGAGGCTGCTGGAGCGCCCGCTGAGGGTCCCTCAAGGTGGTCTAGGAGAGATTGCTCGATGCGAATGTCGGCTGTGTGGACAACGGAGAGGGACGGGACCTCGACGGGTATGACAATGGACCATGGTTCGTCTGGTGTGCCCGTCGGGAGGGTCATGCGAGGGTGCTTCCTCTGCCAATCGTCGAGAAACTCGGCCAATTTTGTCGTCGCATCGTCCCTTGTGCCGGGCACACATCCAAGGCCACGCAAGTGATGTGCCCACCGGGCCTTCTCTAGATACGATGTTGTGACTTCGCCCACCAGTGCTGCTCGTTCTAGATCGTGGGCCTCTAGCCCGTTCCTTGTTTCCTCCAGTACGCGCGCCGCTGTCACCTTGGAATACAGCTCCAGCGGCGTGTCTTTGAGTCCTTCTAGAATCGACTCTTTTATGCGCTCCTCTATCTCCGTCTGCAGCACGCTGTAGTATAACTTGAGATGCATTATCCTGCCGCTTCGTGCAGCCACCTTTGCCCCCTCCTTCCTCTTTACTTTATAGAGTAATGTAGCATGCTGTTTTGGGAAAACCATGACTGTATTGGCTGGCGGGATGCCAAACGAGGATTCGAACAGCTCCGACTCCACAAGCTCGCTCTTGAATAGTCGCAGTGGGCTGGAGGACGCAGTGTCCACGTTGAACCGCGAGAACAGCGCATTATGTTTGAACACGTCTTGTACATTCACCCCAACTGCTAGCGAGACCGGAATCATGATCGACTTTGCGAGCTGGAATGATTCGTCACTTGTTGTTACATATGTAACCTCTACCTTGACTGAAACGTCGCCCAGATCCTGCTCAATGGAGTAAGGGAAGCGCACAGTAATGGATGCCGCCTCCTCCATCGGACCGAAGAAAAGCGCCCCCGATTCTGGGCGTTTCGCAAATTGGATGGATTCGTCGACAAGTTTTGCTTCTGTGGTCAACAGACGGAGACCACCGGTTGTTGGTCGGATTTTGACTTCACAGCTCTTCAAGGTGTTCCACCCAGAACGAATGATGAGATCAAGCGCGTTGTTCTTGCCAAGGCTTATGTGTCTGCTGGCCGTCAACTGCACGTCAAGCGCATTGGGGCGTTGAAACAAGGTCACATCGGGATCTTGGAAGATGCTGCTCGTACGGGGAGGCAAAGAGTTGACATCTTGTTCGTGGTGGAGAAATAGTTTGCTGGATACCAAAGCCAGCCGGCTTACACGATAGCTTCCGGGAATGACGGACTGAGCAGCAGTTAGTAATAGAATCAGACCCAAAAATCGACAGCTTTGACATACATTGCACGCTACAGAGATTGAATTCTTGCCTGGAGAGAGAACAATTTCCTCGTCGACTTCCAAGTTGATGTCTCTGCGTGGTCCTCCATCTGTACATGTTATTCTCAACTTCGCGGAATCCAGCGTCAGCTTCTCTGGCAGCAGACTCCTGAGTTGAATCTTTAACGAGAACCCATCTTTGCGGTCGTGGTATACGGGTGTTCCTTCCAACTCAACGTCCATGAAGAATTTTGATAGGGGCACCTTGACCTCTGAGGAGAGATTTGAAGTCAGTGCAAATAGTTTGGCCGCGACCTGCTTGGTAGGCGAGCTATCGAGAATGGGGGTCTTTGGCAGCGCTACTACGGCAGCCTTCCGCTCCCGTCGTTCTCTTTCAGCGGCACACGACTTGATGAGAAGCGTCATCGCAACATTGACATAGTGATCGTTGGACCCGAGCTCGCTTAGACACTGGCAGTACATGACTAGCAGAGATAGCTCCAAGAGTGACCAGCCATTTTCTGCAAAGAATGGAGTGGCCTCTTCGAAGTGTTTTGTGGCAGCCTTGTATTCTTTCGTGTGAAATTTGAGCATGGCCAGATCAGCTTTGCAAGTCGTGACGGAATGAACATGATTGGCAACGGCAAAGTGGTGGCTAGCTTTGCCAGTGAGAATTTCGTATAGACGATAAAAGTCGACTGTGTTATCGGTGGCCGTCCGCAGGATTTGACTGTCAATACCAGCGATTGAAGGTGCAGTAGATTCTGTGCTAGATTTGCCTCCAATGCTCGAACCACGGCCACATCCACCACCAGCACCACCATCATCGAGACTGATTTCTTCCATGCCGTCAAGCCCAGGTTCACCAACCAATGGTGCTTCATCCCAGCCGTTGGACCAGCCGCGCTTTTTGCCCAGGCCTTCTAATATTCTCCTGGATAGCATGTACAGCTCCGCACGACGAGCAGCCAATTCTTCAAGCCCAACTTTGAGGAACGACGACGTCTGTGACTCAGGTTCTGCGAGACTCGGTTTCCTGCCAGGACCGGGAAAGTTGGGGTTAGAAGGTGGCCGAGATGACGGCTGCGCTTGCAATGACGAGGATCTCGCTGGATGTAGCATAGTCTTCGGTTCTGGGATTGATGACTTTGGCTCGGCTCCGTCTTCCATGACCAAGGTCGGCAGTGGGATAGGCAGCGCTTTGGTCGACGTTTGGACGAGAATCTGCTGGGCAATGGTAAATGCAAACGATGCAACCATGTTGTCCATCGTCTCCAGCAACATTGGATCCAAGGTCGTCACTTGTGCATTTTCTGCAGTATTGGAATTGGCATCATTTAACAAAGAGGCGGTGATATCTTGGCGCATCACTTGGGATATTACTGGAATAAACTCCAAAGTCCGTCGGCATACCTCAGAGAGCATGCCCAAATTTTCAGGTCCATCGTCATTATTCATGGGCGGTAGGAGCGGCGCCACGCCATGGAGAATTGAATTGCGCTGATCCATCAACTTGGCCAGCAATTCTTCCCGTGTTGCAAATGCATTACCCAAACGAAGGAGTAGTGATATTTGCCTTGAGAAGATGTAACATCTGAAATCAAAAACTGACACTTTGTTGGCAAGAATCATGTCGCGGTAGGCCTTATTCGATGAGCTGATGGGGATATCGTCGGCGTCGGTTGAGGCCGTTTCCTGCCTTTGCAAGTCCACGGCTACCTCATCACCGGCGTCCCCTGATAGCTCCGTTAAGACTTGCCTGGCCATCCTTTGCAGCTCTTCCGTATATGTTAACATGGCGCCGCCGTGCTTCTCCGGCGCTCCGCTCTCGACTTGTTCTTGAATGACTGAATCAAGCCCAACGCTCAGCTCGTCGTATCCGACGAGGGCATCCTCGACAAGACCAACATTCTCGAACCCGCGTGCCAAACCCTCCTTCAGGATGAAAAAGGTACAAAAGTTCCAGCCGGGTAGACTTCTTTGACCGTCCTTTTCTTTAATATCCTCCTCATATTGTGTTACTCGCATATCAAAAGAGCTCAGAATTAAGCTCTTGAATTTGCTCATCAGCTCGTTCCATGCATTCTCTGCATCTTGCTCTGTCTCCGAGTATCCAGACGGCACAGCAGGAACTACCCTTGGCAGTAGGTCGTACGGCACATCGTTGATGCCGATGCGAATCTGGGCAACACGGTCTGGTGCGCCTTTACTAGACGAGTTGAAATCTGATCGAAACTTCTCCATCAATGGCGTTGACCCTGGTCTCCATCGTGAAGTAGTTGATGCCTTTTCCGCTGAACCCCCTTCACCCTTGCTTCCAGTGTTTCGGGGTTGAGTGGCAGCCACAGTATTGGGGATGACGACATGCAATATGAGCCACTCAAAGGCATCGTGCTTCTCCTGATTGCTGGCTTTTTTGGACGAACTCGACGGCGGCGTGTGCTCCTTGATCCACTCGCGAACCTCTGCTCTCACCGTGGACTTGTATGAATCGTTGTCGTCGCACCGTACCAGGAGCACTTTGAGATAGGGGGTGCTGCGCAGGCCGGGGATCTGATGGCGCCGCTGGCCTGATGAGGTCTTGGTCGTCGCAGCCCGCTCGTCAACCGTGTCCGTCGAGCTGGCCTCTCCGCCTACTTGCTGTGTTTGGAAGCCATCGTCACGCGAGGCATTCGTAGACCGCCTTGACTTGGGAGCCGCGGGTTCGGGTGGCTGCGAGGCATCGCCTGGCACCAAATCAACATGTAGGGTGTCGATGGATCGGAGAGGTCCGGCATGCGACTGCCAGTGGAGGTTGTGCAATGGCAATCGAGGGACTAGGCCAGGCGCAAGAAGCTTGTAGACATGGTGAGGATCGAAGTACTCGACTGAGAAAGGTCAGCACGTACGCCAAGGCGGACTGGGTGCAAGAAGCAGGAAGCAGGAAGCAAGGAGCATGGCTTACCTGTCACTTTTGACGTCGATGACTGCTGTTCCATGGCCAACGCGTCGATTCTGCCATTGGCATCTTATCATGTGAAGGCGATGTCTAAGGGCGAGGCTGCATGCGCCGGTGCACAAGAGTCGACATTCGGAATACTCGAGACAGTGTGGCTTTTTGGTACCACATGCAGGTCCCTGGCAGCTCTTGTATCACACGTGGTGCAGTCCATGTCTGGTCAAGTAAACGGCCGGGCGGTGAGAGCCCATGGTGCCATAGAGCAGCACGGTGCACCACTGAAGCACCACCATTGGTCGACCGTTGCGCACCAATAAATCAGGCTGGGACCTCCAGATGTCAAGCTGTCTGGTGTCTGGTCGGTACGCGCTGACGCCATGGCGGGGTGGCGGCAGAATTGTTCAACCTGGAAAGATCTGGAGATGTGGAGGGGCAACAAAACATCTGGCGAGCAGCTTTCACTTCCTCTTCGCCATTGTAATCAAGGTGCTTCAAAAATTCGCCATGTCCACCCTTCAAGCTGTCCGCTATTCTCGCGGCAAGCTCGAGGTCCTTGACCAGCTCCGCCTCCCGCACGAATTCCATTATGACCAAGTCTCAACCCGCCAGGAAGCCTTCGACAGCATTGCCTCGATGCGAACCCGTGGCGCCCCTGCCATTGCCATCGTCGCCAGTCTTGGGCTTGCCGTTGAGCTATTCAATGGTCCCGTAGCTGCTGATTCGCCTCAGCAAGTCATTGCCCACATTGACGAAGCCCTTGACTATCTGAAGCAGAGTCGTCCCACCGCCGTCGATCTCACCAACGCCATTAACCAGCTCAAGGCGCGGATACGCACATCTGGTGAAACCAAGGCGTCTATTATCCAGGGATTTATCGAAGAAGCCGAGAACATCTTTGAAAAGGACCTTAAGACAAACCTTGCTATCGGGGATTACGGCGCTGAGTGGCTAAAGGCGCAAGTTGGCGCGACATCAGATAACACCGTTTCCGTTCTCACACATTGCAACACCGGCTCGTTGGCAACATCCGGCCACGGAACGGCGCTTGGCATTATTCGAACCCTGCAGGCAAATGGGCAACTACGACATGCGTTCTGTACTGAGACCAGGCCATACAATCAAGGCAGTCGCCTCACTGCCTTTGAGCTGGTCTATGAAGGCATCCCCAGCACCCTGATTACCGATTCCATGGCCGCATCCCTATTTCGCACCAAGAAGGCTGAGAAGAACATTGTGGCTGTCATTGTCGGCGCCGACCGAGTTGGTCGCAACGGCGACACCGCCAACAAGATTGGGACGTACCAACTGGCCGTGCTCGCGAAGCACCACGGCATCAAGTTTTTGGTTGCGGCGCCGACTACCAGCATCGATCTGGAGACGGAAACGGGAAACGGCATCAAGATTGAGGAGCGCAAGCGGGAGGAGCTGACCCAGCTGACTGGTGCTGTCATCAAGGCTGATGGCAGGGTGGATGAGAGCACAAAGGTCAGAGTTGCCACGGCCGATCAGAGAATCGAGGTGTGGAACCCCGCGTTTGATGTTACCCCAGCTGAGTTTATTGATGCCGTGGTGACTGAAAAGGGCGCAGTCGAGAAGGGACCCGATGGCAAATTCGACTTTAGCAAGATAATGCCAGAACGGTGGGCAAAAGTGGCTGGGGTGTGATAGTGATGGATTGAGTTAATGGGAAGTTGAGTGCACATGTGGGAGTTGGATATGTAAAAGTGTGTTTTTTTTTTTTTTTTGAAACGAGATACGACATGGGGGGGTGTCACCGCATTAGATTATAAGCGCGTATAGCATTGAGTCTGTCTTCCACAGCCACTTGCTGTGATCCCCTGACGTTATTGCTTCAACGCATGGACAATTAGTTTCTGATACCCTTCAACGGCTTCTTCCAAATCCGCAACCGTCAAGTTTTCCCTCGCGCCATGAGCAACGAGAATGTTGCCAGGACCGTACAAGTACCTCGTGTGATTACCAGCCAGGTTGGGAATATCCGTGCCGTAATTGACTGTAATCTTTTCGAATCCTGTACGACGAGGTGGGTCAGTAAATGCCCTCATGAGCAGATACCTCTTGGGAAACATACCGTCAACTTCGCAGTTGCACTCGACCGATCCGTAGCCGTGCGTGCAGTCCATGTCAAACGCCTCGTCGTCAACCTCATCCAGTATCCTCTGAATCTTGCTCGTCACAATCTCGTGCCCCTTGTCCTCGGGCCCAATGGCCACCCTCCCGGCAAACTTGACCACTGCCTTCTCAGGAATCACATTGGCCGCCACGCCGCCATCGAACCGGCCAATGTTAAACGTCGTGTTTCCAAAAAGCTCCGAGCTGCCCAGGTCGGCATCCAGAATCTTGGCCAAGGCACGCACCATCAGCTCGTTTGCCGACTTGCCCAGCCACGGATACCCACTATGACCCGGCACACCACGGGCGGTGATGTCGCAGAACAGCCCGCCCTTGTGGCCGCACGCAAGCTTGTTCTCGGTGGGCTCACCAAAGATGACGGCGTCGAACTTGGGCGGCTCCTCCATCCTGGACAGCGAGTCGCTAAACGTGGCCATTCCGTCGCCGGCCACTTCTTCGCCCACCACAAAGAGGAGCATGACGTCTCCCTGGTTGGCAATTTCTTTTGAAGCATGCAGTTGCTCCAGCGCAACAATCATGGACGCCACGCTGCCCTTGGCGTCGACGGAGCCGCGGCCCTTGATCATGGTTTCGGGCGTGATTTCGCCGGGGGAGCTGGAGTATGGAATGTGCGGGGGCACGACGTCAATGTGCGAGGACACAACTACCTTGGCCGAGGGGATTCTCTCGCCCTTCCACGCAAGGACGTTGAAGCGTTGTTTGTTTGGGGGCGTGCCGTCTCTGGCCGCGACGGGCTGGAGGTCGGCATGGTACCCGCGGGCAGTGAGGTAGTCGACGAGGAAGTTGCCGACGGCGTTTTCGTCTCCTGAGATGGAGGGAATTGAGATGAGTTGCTTGTGTAGGCTGAGCAGTTCCTGGCGATATGAGGGTGCTGCGGCAGTGGCTGTGTGGTGTGAGGTTGGGACACGGTGCTTCGCGTCCTTCAATGGCTGTTGGTGGCACGTTGCCCACGGCATCAGCGCCAGAGACGCGATGATTGATGAGCGCATCTTGGGCCTCTTCGGGAAATTCAAGCCTTGGGGCAATTAGTCCAACTGAGGAAAACTAATGGTGTCGGGATGAATACAGATGAATACAGAGTCAATTACTCCGTACGTCGTCCCACTTCCCCACACCGATCGGTTTCGACGTTGACACCACTCCACGTGATGGCGCCTTTGCAGCAACCCGGAGGGCTGCGTCTGTAGAGTCGATATTTGTTGGATTATCGCAAATAAAGAAAGGAACCGATTCAATTGCCTTTTGTTGTTTGTCCTTCCTAATTCTAGACCAAACCCCGCCCTGTGCATTGGAAGTGATGTGACTGATGTCCGTGTTTTCCACCCACCGAGCAACTGCACGGCACATGGCCGTTTTAGCGAAATAGGCTTTCAATTGAAGCTGGTTTCAAACGTATTTGACATACAACTACAGTCCATGGCCAAGTTGTCAAATGATATTGCCCTAACAGTAGCACTACTATACTACACTATCATCTTGTCAACATGGGATATGTTTTAATATTTTTACAATTTTCTTCGAATATATGTTGTTTTTGACCTTCTTGTATCTACCGCAGAAGGTCTCAATCTCTGCTAGGCTTCAAATCACTCCAAAAGCTTTTGAGAAATGGTTCCGCACTAAAGATCGTGGACGACCTCAATGAAGATATCGTGAGCAGAAACCACTGTTTTTGGCTTATACTGCACAGGCGTAGTCCAACTCTTATCGGAGTACGATGTGATGAGTAAATAAGCACCAGTTGTGGCGCCCTTGGCCCAAAATCGTCAGCGCCTCTTTTCACTGTCTCAGCTGTTAGCTTACTAGCACGCGCCCGTACGCGCCTCCTGATCCAATGAAATTTGAAAGCATCGCATGGTCGGGTTCCCCCGACGAGCCGCCGGTATAAAACATTATGCCACGGTTTGTACAATAGATGTGCAGCCGAATTGTGCGATGCATTGCTGCAATGCAACGGTGTAGGTAGCCCCTTTCGCGTATAAATTCAGCATTAGTCATATTCGCCATCGGATCTTATTTGAGATAGTTGCAGCATAATCCCACTTCTGATCTCCCCATGTTGATCATTCAATAATGACAATCGTTGGCAACCTTTTGTGGCCGGGGAATAAACACCACTGTTCGCCTTGGCCATGTCGCGAACAGTTGATAAGCTGCATCAACCAAAGACCAAGGCTCAGGTCAAGGTCATTGTGGCAACAGCAAGCAGGTATGACTATCACTAGTGGCAAATAGTAGCAGGAGAGGAGTGAGGCTGACTTGGGGGTTAGAACGGGAACGCGGAGCGTATATGAGGCCATGACGGTCCTGGGCTACAAGACATTCCACATGAAAGAGTGTCTTTACGAAGGCGGAGTGCTGCACATGGAGATTCTCGCCGAGGCTATCCGGGCGCAATACAGCCCCTCCTCAGGCGTTAAGCGGTACAGCAGACCAGACTTCGATAAGTGGCTAGCTGAATATGATGTATGAAGCTACATCCTCTTGCTGCATGATACTTTCCTGTGAGTTTCATACCTGACTTTGTTTTTACAGTGCCTCGTCGAAATTCCGTATTTCCTGGGTCCAGGGCTCCTCAAAGCCTACGCCGACGACCCGAACATCAAGTTCATCTTGACCGACCGCGACCCCGATAAATGGGTGACCTCTGTGAACAAGACGGCCGGCGAGATTATCACCAAGATAAACCAGTTTCCGCTGAATGTGTTGCAGTATTTCAATAGGGATTTACACAAATTTCTCACTTTGAATAAGGTTATTTATGGCGCGATTGCTGACGGCACTGTTCCTGGGGATAGGGACAACAAGGCGGCCATGCGGAGGAATTATATCTCTTAGTGAGTTTCCCCATGGCAGCCCTACTTTCTTGCCTTTTTGTCACCAGATTCATACCTCAGGACTGTAGCATCGAAATGGCGAAGAGTGTCCTCCCCGCCGACCGGCTCCTGTTTTCCCATCTCGAAGATGGTCTCGGCTGGGAACAAATCTGCGCGTTCCTGGATCTCCCAATCCCCGACCAGCCGTTTCCCAGTCCTAATGTCCAGGAGAACTTCAGGAGGAAGGTCGGTGACTGGTTGAAGCCCCGGATTCAGAATGCAATGATGACGTTGGCTGCGGTGGTGGTTCCGGTAGTGGGAAGTCTGGTATATTTTGGAATGAAGTACCGGTCTGCGTTTGGGCTGGGGTCTGAAGTGTAAGATATAAGCTTGTGATGATGTAGCCCTCGGGGGAAAGAATCAAGGGCAAACTGATTAAAGACACTATGGGATATATTTATTTTACATCTGCCGCTGCTTCGGATTCCAGCCGAATCTCTTCCCAACCCAGAGTTCGACTTCTCCACATCGCCGAGAAAATTATCACCGACAGCTTTTTAACCATACCAAGTAAAAGCATGGACCACTAAAGCATCGCTTTCGACACCCTCAAAATGGATGACGGTTGATATTGGTCGCTCTTTGCGGGTGTAACAATGGTGTTAACATTTTATAGACGCGGAAACATGTAGTGTGCCCCGAGAGCTGCGATAAGAATTGGTCGATGAGTTATGGCGGCCGCTTCAGTAATGCTCATGACCCTATTTATTTCTGGGATAAAAAATAGAAGAGTTTGTTGGAATTACTTATCCGAAAAGATAAGGCGTGCCAGGTTTATTAGTACATTACGTGCTCGCGGTTTAAGACTTATTCACACCCGATGCTCTGAGAACACCAGTTATGGCAGATTAGACTTGGCAGCTCGGGACTCGGCTACGTCTTAAAAAGAAAAGAAGAGAACTGTGCAAAACGTGACGCAGGGTCTTGAGGAAAAGGGAGGGAAAAAAAGAGAAGAAAAAAGTAAAAAAAGAATGCCAACAGCCTGACTCGAACAAGCGACCTTTGCATATCGTGGAGATATTTGATACAAGTGCAACGCTCTACCACTAAGCTATGCCGGCTTCGGTTGAATTCGGTCCGTCATAATTTGTTAGATAAGCCACCAAACCCAACCGCCTTGCAATTGTCAATATCCTTGGCTTGGGCCGTTCCAGCGTGCATCATGACCAGCGCCTCCGCGACTGCAAACACAGCCTAACCCTCGGGGGCAATATGAGGCAGCTAGGCAGAAGAAGTATGATTGATTTCTTATTGCAACTTGGGAAATAACTCTTGCGTGCTCTTGACATAGTATTTTGCTTGCCTTGAATGAGCGAACTGATCTGGACTGATGTCAGGAGATTTTAGAGCTTATGCACATCAAGCCCAGCTGCGTGTAAGTTTCTTTTCTCATAGCTTTGGAGGCAAGATGTTTCAACCCCATTATAGGTGATATTGACCCTCTTGGGCCCGTCTGGTGTTCATACGATCCCGTAGGTTTCTCAGATGTGGAAATGTGGGCTATTGTATTGCGGCCTCCAAAGACGCCATGATATTACGCACCTTGAGTAGCTTACGATCTAAGTAATATTGGGCTACTTGGCCTGTTACACTGTGACCTGGAAGCTATTAGGGCAGACTCAGAAGCAATCGCAGAATGCGGACGACTCAAAGCCGAGGCAGAACAAGACATTCCTATCGACATTTCTTTCATCCAATCCCGCAACTCAACTACAACCTCGACAACTCCACAGTCCCCGTTTCGTTGTATGAAATTTAACTACCTCTGGCTCTCATAATGTGACCCCCGCAAAGTGGTCTAACAAGATTCCAATAGAGAATAGTGCTAAGCACTGTATATTGAATATCATCATAAGCAGCGAGAAAAAAGCGCCACTCTGAATCGAATTTTCTTGCCGAGTGTTCCCTAATGGATAATAACGGCGCGAAAAAGAGCTCTTATCCGAGTTCAGAAATTGAATGCATGATTCGAAGCAAGAGACCTAATCCGCATTCACATTTTAGATCTCCTGCATTGGCCCCATTATTAAGGGCAACAATAGCAACATGCAACTGGTCCTCCAGGTTATCTTTGTCACCTTTATTGCAAAAAGGTCTGAGTGAGGGCTTGGAGTAATAACTCAATTCATCCAATAACAGTGTTTGATTTTCCTCAAGGGTTAAATGGATCAAAGAGCTCTTTAAATGTAAGAAGTCGGTGACAGTCTTCTGCCCTAGGGCCCCTGATCGTAGCCCTCGTGTAACGGTGTGCCACCTAGAGCATTTTTATACGTGACAGCCACATAGCTTAAGCCCATCTAAAAGTTACAACAAGACAGATCTATTAGAACACTATTTTGAGTAATTCTCTATAACTTATAAACTATAATAATATAAAATACATTAAGGAAACTTAAGTGTAAGTGTAGAGTGTAGTTCTTACAAGTAGAATTGGGATAATCTTCCTACTATCCCCGTATTCGGTTGACCTGGGTGCAAAGACACTCGTGTAAAATCTTCTCTGCACCTGTCTTTCCCGTCCCTGGCCTCGACCTCCGCAGTCATATCAAGACTTTCCACTTCCAACCGGTAATAGATACTCGCGACGCCGCCAGAGTTAATGCAGCAGCCAGCATTACTGATCCGCCCCAAATCTGAGCCAAGGCATAACTGCCCGTTCGATCAATGATTGCCCCCGCCGTAGGAGGGCCGGCTAGGGTAGAAAAAGCGCATAATGTTTCGATCATGCCGAATCGGATCCCCATCTTTTGCGGATCCCGAGTCAAACTCGCCAGTGATGGAACATAGGTGCTTTGATTGGCACTAACAGCCAGGCCATAAAAGACACTGAACACGTACATACTCGCCCGTGTAGTTATCGTCGTCCAAATAAACAGCATAACGCCTACAAACGCAGTGGCTATAATGAAAACATTGATAGGTCCAACATGCGTATTTGCCACGTATCCTATAATCGGTCGGACCGGGAGGCCGATGGAATTTGTAATCAGCAGCAAGCTTACAGATTCGACAGACGAAAATCCAATGACGTTGCGCGCAAAGCTATTAATCTGTTTTGGTCCGCATTAGTTCAACTTCCTCCGGAAGCCTGCGAGCATATAAAGAAACGGGTATGCTCACATAAAAAAGTCCAAAGTACATGCCGTAAAAGTTCAAAAACGCTGCAGCGGCAAATAATGCATAAGGGATCTCTTTGAAAGCCGCCCACTCAACCCAAGGGCCCGTTTTCCGCCCGGGGATATACGGCTTGAGAAGCACGCAGGCTCCTATACAAAGTATAAGCGCAACCAGAGCTCCGACTCGAGTAGCCCAGCTAAATCCTACCTGAGGAATCAGGTACTGCACTATCGCCGGGAAGACAACACCCCCCGCGGAGGTTCCCATGGCTGACATGGACAGCGCCAGTGATCTGCGTGTGCTAAAGTACGAGCTGGTGATGGCGACGGCAGGCGTAGAAATGACGCCGAGACCAATCCCCGTGCAAACCCCTTGGGCGAGCATGATTTGCCAATATTCGTAACAAAAGCTTGTCATATAAGAGCCCAGCACAACGAAGAAGCAGCCCACAATGATAATCTCGTGAGCGTAGCCAGCATCGGCAATGCGGCCGGATGGGCCGCAGACAATAAATGCAAGAAATACCTGGACTGAACCAATCCAAGATACCTGTGATGACTCTAGGCCCATTGTGTCAACATAATACAGCTGGTATACTCCAAATGTAGCAGCGTAGCCCCAGGATACAGCATTGGCGAGGTTGGCGGCAAGGACCTGAGACCAAGCCCTCCATCCGCCATCAGGAGGGTCAAAGTCGAAATCCAGGCCCGTAGTCGAGTCATGTTGCTCGTTGGCATGATGGCTGTGAGCGTCATACGCAGTGCGAGACGACGTATGGGACGAGTATGAGGATAACGACGGTGTACCATTACTCGCGACGAATATGTCGTGAGCAACGTAGGGTTGCTTTTCGTCGTCGATGACCTTTGGTTGGTCCATAGTGTTGTAACAACGTCATGGATACCGGCCGCAAACAAAAAAGAAGGAGTACCAGGGGGAAATGGTTTATATTGGACTTTTCAACAACCTCCCCCAGGCTCGTCCGTGACATCCAGGCTGGTCATTCGCCATTCCGTATGTCTTGCCTGACCTTTTTACGAGCTACCACGTAGCACGACGATAAGGAGCTCTTTGCTACTTGTCTCAGTCCACCTGCAGAGGTGGTATCAGATGGCCAGACTTTGGCGGCAATTCGTCACCACTCCACTAATTGACTCAGACACTGCAACGAGAGGAATTTCCCCCTTTGAAAAAAAGTTTTTTTTTCGTGGTGGCCGGCTGGCTGTGTCGTTGGACGTCATGTTCCCAGCCTTCGGCGCTGCATTCCAGAGACCACGCGCATTCCCGGTAGCTCCCCAAGTGTTTTGGGTGAAATTGAGGCGCGGCACGGGGACAAATCAAAGTGGTCATGCTGCCATGAGGTGATTTGCTGCGGCGCTAGACATTCTGTGCGGGTATGCATCCTGAAACTCGGGTGTTCTTTCTTGTGGCCGGAACGTCGCGCTGTGGTGTTTGAGATGGCGGATGTATGGCGCCGAGATATTTCACAATTGCTTTTTATGTAATGACTTGCCACGCTTGATTTCCCAGTGGAAGAATTTGCGCATCATTGCCCGCAGAGTTTCCAAACTCGTGCAGAATTGAAGTTGAGAAAACGAGCTGGTGTATGGTGGCATGGTGGAAACATGGACGTAAACGACGCACGCAATTCAGCATGCACTATTCAGGAACTTGTAGCCACCATTTCAAGCTTAATAAGGATCTTCGTTTTCAATACTAGGGGCAGAGGATTCAACTAAAGTGCCACATCTACAACTTAAACTCGCTGAACGTCGCAAGTTGCTCCACGTTGAATAACCAAAATGGCAAAGCCCGCCGCTCCTATTCTTTCAAAGCAAAGGGACACCGTCCCGAAGCCATGGCAGCTGCATGAACAACCTCCTGTATGTTCCTCGTCTCCTCGGCACCCAAGCCCATTTTTGCCTTTGGCCCAATATCCTCGAACAAGAACCCATCAGGCTTCATCTCCTGACCGCCATCACCGGGCAACATGCCGCCAAATACCCAAGTCGCCCATGCCGCGGGACCCCAGCGCGCCCATGTAGTCGGCTGATTATACCACGGCTCCTTGACATAGTGAGTGCTGTACATGCGACCCGTTATGGGATCGGGGTCCGTGACGTAGCGACGGCTAGTTGGCCGAGGGGGCATCAAGAAGCGCATCATGATTTGCCGCAGCCATAAAAGGGTGAGGGTAAGTGCCGAAATCGCCGTGCTTGGTTCCGGAAAGCTATTGGCCACATGAAGTCAGACAGATGCATCATGGTTCACCAGGGGACGAGCCACGACGACATTGACGTACCCAAACGAGCAACGCATCTTGTCACCCATCATGACAAGACCCATTTGCCGCATCAAAGACCGCATGAAGCTGGGAAATATGGATGTGAGGAGGTCGAGCTGGGCGTTTGCCAGTTGCCGACTAGGATGCGACGGTCGAAGCCGATCAGTCTCGTAGTGTAGCGCCCATTGCTCTACTTGTTCCATGAACTCGAGTCCGTCTTTCCAGTTGTCTTTGCCAAGGGCCTCGGTGTAGTTGATGCCCATCATGTCGCCGACCATCTTCCAAAGAGTACCCTGCGCGGCAATCTCGAACATGGAAAGCTCTCGCCATTCGTACAATCGGATGAATCGTACGGGCTCGCTCATAGCCGCGTACAGTACATATAGTAGATCTTCGTTTTGGATCTTGCCCGACCGAATGTAGGGACCGTGCAGGTAGTTCATTCGAGCCACCGCGCCGTGAAGCTGGGGGGAATCCGGGGGGAAGAGCATGAAACTAGAGGCATCAGTACCGCCATATGTTTGTCTGGGGGAGAAAAAAGACATATATTCGACTTACCAAGCAAAAATGAGTGCCGTGTCTTCGAACCTGAGGGCGGTGTTAGGGCCCAAGTTTCTCAAAGGCGGGTTTGTCACTCCCGGCTTACCTCTTGGACACTTTGCTCTGTTTGGAAAGATTACCTGTCGCGGCTAGAAGTTTTGCAATATTTTGAATGGCATACGTCTAAAACAGTCAGAGAGTCAAGTATACATGAGTAATGTACTATCTTACCTTCATCTGCGCATATGCTAATGAGAGGCCAAAGAATAAAGGGAACTCGTAGGTATAAGCATGTTCGATGATTGCCTGCGCTTCTGAACCGGTCATTCGAGCCAAAGATGCCCTATCGGGAAAGTTGAATCGGGATTTCATAGAACGGAGGCTCCTGAATCGCAAAAGGGAGCATGTCAAGACGTAAAGTATAAGAGTTATCAAGAATATGGCTGGCCATGACAGCTTGCTAAGCAGTGCCCATAGTGTAGCGCAACTGCTCAAAAACTCGACAAACATGGTTCTCCAAAGAATCATGATGGTACGTTTTTCCAAGGTTTATTTGCTTCATGACTGATGGTATTACTTTGTCCCGTATGTGGTGGAAGAATTTATAGGTCCTTTGGGACGGAGCTTCGGTGACATTTTCAGTCTCCATTCACCCATATTATTTACCAAGGCGAAGTCCTCAATAGAGGCCGGCCTGGGACACAATTTTACCTAATCTGCCTCCCACGGTAGTAGTAATCGAGGAAGACGAAACGCCATATGCATCGTCGGACGTTACAAAGCCTCGGCATGGCGAGTCGACAGCATCGGAACAAAATGAGGGGTCATGTAGGCTTCCCATCAGAACGGTTCAAAGGAAAGCGAATGCGAAACATCTCCAATTTACATAGAATTCAATCGGGCCCGAGCCTCTGGGGAGACCTGGTAGATTCAATAGTAGGCTGACAGAATGGAGGCGGATGATTGGCAGAGAGTCCTCATGGCAATGCGAATACGAACACGACGGGACTGGGCAATAGAGTGGGGATCACAGAATCACATGTTTTGCATCTTCACTTGTGCATTCTGCGCTCTGATGTCTGGCGGCAGTCTAGGATTATTCTGTTTCACAGAGTTTGCTGCGAGCTAACACTAGAAATGCGCCTCCTTTCGACTATTGCGAAATCTTCCCGAAGCAGCCGCTCCTCTCAGTCTCATAACCAGGTGAAGTGTAGAGTATCGCGGACTGCACCTACAGGGTGGCATGTGAAGCCCAGCATCGGACGTTCTCATGATAAGTCTTGAGGGGAGGTGCAAAAAGAAGGTATTCCGGAAAAGAGATTTAATGGATATTGGCAGCTGTTGATAGATATCAGCCGGCGTTGATAGGTTTTGGGCTGCTGTTGATATTACCAAGTATCGGCTAGATGTCAAGGATGCTATGCAATCCGTGCAACTATTCACCGCTATTGGCCTCACTCACGACGGTGGATTTGTCTCCTAAGAGGGTATATGCCAAAAAGGACATGCCGACACAAAGGCAAGCTGACTTTGTCAGAAAATGGGGTACCAATAAATGGGAGGCAACTACTTGCCCAAAATCGTATTCATAAGATAGTAACCCACAGAATCGGCCAAGGCACCGGACAACAGAGGCCCAAGCAGCAGACCTGCCGCAAAGGCCAGATTGGAAAGCGAGTAGCATCTTGAATAGCCCCCGCCAGGCCCGAATATGCCTGGCTGCTTGGACTCAAATTCGTCCACAACGCCTGCATGTTTCCGAGTAGCCCGGGTCAGCCTATATTGCTAGTCTGTTATCATGAAGGCCATGGTATGACGTTGTACTTACAGGTAATCTCAAAAGCGCTGACAGTGCTTGTCAGATTCGTGACACTTCCTATGCCGACAACTGCTGCCACATATGTGAATTTGGCAGAAGCCTCGGAAGAAGCCCACGGAAACTGTTTCTGATCTGCAGCACCGAGGAGCCACAAAAGAGGAGCCAGCGAGGCGAATCCAAAAGCCGTAGGCTTTCTTGTACCGACTCTGTCCCTCAGCCAGCCATAGACAGGGCTGGAAAGAATGATGGGAAGCTGCAGGAGCGCAAACAGCAGACCAGTCGGTAAGCTGTCCCATCCGAATGCAAACTTGACATGGGTGGGAATGGTGGTGCCGTAGCTGGCGACCATAATAGAATGGACAATGGAACACAACATAGAAATAACAACCCTTCTCTGAGTAAGAACGACCCTAAAGAATGCGGTCGCTGCCGTAGCCGCAGGCTCTTCTATGGAAACTTCTTCAGATTCACCATCTGATTGGTCGTTCGAACCAAATATCAAGGGCGATTCTTCGTCTGGCACTGAGGCCGTATTGTCGGACTCCTCATGGGCGATGCTGGCGTCAGAACCCTCTATCATGACGAGCCTCATTGCGATATTCATCGCCACAACGACAAATACACTCCCCCAAGCCATCCAGTAGCCGGTGAGAGAGAGCAACACCCCTGCAATGGCGGGCCCCAAGAGCTCTGCTATACTTATACAGCTGTACATGAACCCAAACGCCTTGCCCATGTGCTCAGCGCCGACTGAGGCTCGGAGGGTGGCCACGCCGACGATCCATGCTGCTGTTGCACCAATGGATTGAAGCGCTCGGCCAACGTAAATCACCGATACTAATTAGAAAGCCATGTATTAGAAGTATATCTTATAAAAAATATGAGAAGACCGTGGCGGCATACCATCTGTCGCGGCGGCGACGGCCAAAGTTCCGATAATCGCAACAACTAAAGCCGCCACCAGTGGCATCTTCCGCGTCGTGGCCAAGTCTGCAAGCTGCCCGATGAAGATGGAAGACACAAGTGAAACAACCCCGTAGAGAGTCAGGATTTGATAAGTAAGCCGTTGGATATCCGATGGATCTACATGATTTCGCTCTTCCAGCATATAAGGCAAGATGGGAATAATGAAGCTGTAGAGGAAGCTTTCTAACATTCGAACAACACAAAACGCCGAGTTAGTTGATGATGCATTCTGGAAAGCTCAGTATAAAACAGTCTCGTCCTAAATGCATCGAAAATAGAAGCAAGCCGTGCCGTAGAGCGGATGTGACGTACCTGCGAATAGAGAAATCGAAATGCACACAATGCCGAATGTTGTCGACGACCGCCACCGCTTGCCCCAGACGTGGCGCTTTTGATGAAGAGATGCTGCTTTCATTTCAACTCTAGTATTTTTTTTTATTTTTTCCCCCCTTGAGATAATGGTCCTTCTGAGAGTCTTGATTGTCAAAATGTCAGACTATCGACTACAAAAGGTGGTGATTGTGGCAAAATGATCCTTTGGCCATGTCATGGAAGACGTTTAAAAGCTACCAATTGGCTTTGCGGCTCGAAGCCCGCCAGTAATCGAGCGTGAGAGACATTTATGCAGCGAGATTGACGAGACATCTCGAGATGGTGGGAACCTGAGACAAACCCCCACGCCATCGTTCAGGGAGTCTGGCAGGTTTTATGCAACGCTGACGTAGAGCCAGTTATACGAATCATAGATTAAATAAACTCGTTTCTTTCTCCCCCCACTAATCTCCCTTTTGTTCTGACGGAGAAAAAGGTAGAAAGACAATACGTAGACGTTCGTTGTGGCACTAGAGGCCGAAGTTGCTGATATGTGGCCGCTTGCGCTGGTAACCACGGATTTACAAGACGAGCTTGTGTCGCGATGCAGTGAAAAGGAGCCACGGGGCTCGGATCCAATGAGTGAGGTGAAGAGCTCCAGTTGACGTAACATCAAACATTGAATCATGCGCCTCTTGCTTACCCCTCTTGCGTGAAGAGCGAATTGGGGCGGCTGGACGGTGAGCAAGCGCCGGTGTGACTGCGCTGCTGGGTTGGTCGGGCACCGAGATGGGTACCTTTAGGTTTCTTTGAAGGAACAGCCGGACATGAGAAAGCTACTTGACTGGTTGAACTGATCATGGAGTGCCGGTGTGCTTTGCAGACCGTAGGTGAGATGACAGCGTCCGGGGCATGGCGCAAGCCTGGTGAGCGCAGTCGCATTTAATAAAACGCTTTTTCATTGATCGGCCCTCATCAATATGATGGTGTGTGTGAAGCTGAGGAGCTCCCATTTTCTCATACATCAGTATGGCTGATATGCAGTTTGGTTGGTGTTGTGAGCTATCACAATGGCTGTTACACGGAAAGGGCCCAACAGATCGTGAAGCCCAACAAAGGGGCTTCACCGGTAAAGGACCTGTTAGTTACACAAATTAAACACGTGCCCGGGCAAGGGCCCTAGGCACACGCGTTCCCTTCTTGTATATATAGTAATCACTGCTCCCTTCCTTCCTCTTAGAAAACCAAGGACTTTTGACACTCTTTGAGATCATCTTTGAAATTGAACCTTTGCGTTCCGAGCCTCGTAAGACCCTCGTCACAGTAGCAGATGCAGGATGGCCGACATCGACGTTGGGCGGCGTACGGCCCTCGCCAACCTGTAGTTGTGAATAGAGTTGGGCCATGGTCGGACAGAGGTACACATGGATGTATCAGAGCCATCGTTTGCACAGACAGTGAATTTATTTTTGTTCAAAATAGATCGTTCTCCATGGTGCGAAGAATGATACATATTGGGCCATGTTTTTTTCAATCTGGTTGTGGAATTAGAACTCTCGAGTGGTGGTGTTTGTTTCTGTTCGATACCACTACTCGAGACGAACAGAGATAAATACTACTACTCCAGACTTTAATTCCACAACCAGATTAAAAAAACCATGCCCCAGTATGTAACACATGGTGGTACAAGAGAAGAAAATGATGGAGCAAACGTGGTACCGCCATGTTTAGGTGATTATCATCATGATGTGACAGTTTGATCATCACAGCTAACACAAGTTTCTCCCACTTCCACCTGATGCTTTATCGGCCCATCACAAGCTCAGATATATAATGCCTCCCGCATGACCCTCCAAGCTCCAAGGAACACAACGCCCAATCTCAAATCCCCAACAATCCAGACACCCATTTCAAGTTTGGCAGCGGCTCGGACACGACTGCAGCCAGCATGGAAGCGTCTGATACTACTGTCCCTAGCCCCTATGATACGCTGAGTTCCATCTTTTCGAGTACGTTGCACGTCATTTTGAGCAAAATGGTTGGGTCTCAATTTCCTGACTCTATCGAAGTTTCAAGTTCCTCTGGTTCAAGTTCTGCCGTCTCACATGATACATTCTTCTCGATGCTTGACGCGAGCGAACACGAAAACACCCCCCAAGCGCTGATAAATGTGATCAACGGTATACTAGGTCCCATTCAGGAATCGCAAAGGACCATGTCAGATGAAAGTTGGACCAGTGGCGCTGATGACAACGACCCGGAGCCAAGTCCTCCCCCGTCGCCTCCCAAAACACCGCCTCCATTTTGGCCACGACCTAGGCCACGTAATAGGGCTGAGCAAGACGGAATGGATGTCTGGGATATGATAAGTGATGAGGAAGAGATTAGAGAAGCTGAATGGGAAACTCTGTGA